TATTTTATCTATTTTGCGTTCATAATGACTTTTTATAGGTTGGCTATACTTTAAACAGCATAATATTTTGCATATTGGTTATAATATTTTTATGATTTTTCTATTACTTACGAGACTTTTCTGGCAATAAATTTTGTTTAACACCAAAGAAAATCCTTTTTTCTTCTTTAACATTAACAGCCGCTTGTTGTAAATAAGTAAATTAAGGACGGCATGGCGAATCGATTTTGACATTAACTGTCAAACCAATGACTGTGATACCAACTATCTAAAGTAAAATTCGACCAAATTAAATTTAAGGTAAAAAATTGATTTTTTTATAGAATTTTTGCAAAATAGATAAAATAGCATAAATAACTAATGTCATAAGACCTTTTGCTTAGAGCAAAATAACCTCTTATGACATTAGTTCTTTAATATACTAATTTCGATAGAATTAAGGAAATAGTCAATAAATTTTCTCTTTTATGAGGCTAAAATTATGGAAATTAGAGGCATTTAGATTTTTTGCTTACCAACAAAATTCAATAAAGTCGATGTATTAACAAATGTTGTGGTATAGTGAAACCACAAATTCCCTTTGGTACAAAAACTCGTAAATTTAAAACCCATTAAAATTATTAGGGCTTAAATGGCACTTAACCATTTATTAATAGAGCTTTTAACCTTAATTTAGCGGCAAAACTTTTTAAATAAGGATCATAAAAATCGAATATTTTATTTGAAAGTCTACATAGTACCTACTTACCAACTATTTAAAAGATTAATTTGTATGACCATTTTGATGTTATAAACAGGGTGTTTAAAAAATGACGCAATGTAAAAGCACTTCATCTAAAAGGTTTATGGCTTTTTCTGCTTTAAAAAGTGTAATTTATTTATCTCGGCGCATTCGCCATTTTTGAAACTTTGTGATCCGCCAAGTTTTTAGTATTTTTTCTATGGCAATTAAATAAGTGTGCACAAACATGTTTTAAAATATTTAAATGTATACAGTTTGCAATACTCTACAAGCGGATTTTAGGGCCAAAAATAGGAAGAAACCTTCTTATAAACATAGGTCAGCTAATGACATCTAAGAAATATGTTTTATTATTATTAATATTTTTGAAACGGTTTAAGATAGATAATAGTATATTATGTTTCAAGTTTGATAAACGCCATTTTATACACGAATTTAATTTAGGCACGAGCGAGCTTGCGAGCGAGTGCTTAAATTAATGAGTGTATAGAAAAGTATATAAACGAGGTGCATACTATACTTTTTCTACGACAAATACTTATTATTATCTTAAAATGATTTAAATCAAATATTTTTATAGAGCGCCATCTATGAAACAATAGGGAAATCTGTGTGTCACCGTCAAATGTCATATTTAGTTATTTTATAAACACAGATTATAAAGGTTATAAATCGAAATTTATTTCTTGAAAATTGAAAGTTTTTCACAGTGAAAGTAAAGAAAATGTTTTATGAGCACTTTACAGTGGAGTCCGTACCCGAATTTAAGTTATAGTTTACTGCGGGCAAAATTAAAAGGTCAGTACAAACTTTTCAAATATTGGCGTTTAGAAACTACTTAATACTTTTGTATTTTTGTATTGAGATAATAAAATAATTTTCATTTAGTATTATTTTACAAGAAATGTACTTTATTTTAACGATTGTATGACATTTGACAACTGTCAACTAACTTAAAACTAACTTCAGCCCGTGACTAAAATTCTGTTGCAAACTTCAGCCCGTGACTAAAGGGCGTTTTAAAGGTGGGAGTAGAAAAAAAAATAATAATAACCCATTTGTTTGAGATTCCTGTAAAATCTTTATTTATTGTGCGTTTTTAAGAGGATTTGTTTTAAAGTGTAGATCTTAAAAAACTGTATTTTTGGAGCAAAAAAAACGCCATATTTTTACAAAATACAAGGCCTTCTATATCAGTTTTAAGAGTAAATTTTTAGGAACCAATATTAGCGATTTAAAAAAAAAATCGAATTCGAAAATAATAATGAACAAAAATTATGATGTTGTTTATATTTATTTATATGTCTTATATCCATGTTATTAATGAAATTGGGGCAAAACATAAAACGTTTCTTCCTAAAAAAATATTTTTTTAAATGATAATATATATTTTCTTGTAAACTGGTAATATTATCCGACATATCTATAAAGAGTCGTGTTACGTGCATTGTAAGTTAATTTCGTGTCGAGGTGTCCCGGGAAAAACAATCCTCGTATTTTCTATTCTGCGCCGTTACTCCTATTAAGTTTCCATAGCGTCGAAAACCCTTTCTGCGTAACGCTTATACCTAACGAAAACTTAAGATATCACGGGTAAACTTTTAAATAAAATAATCGATTTTTTCAAGTGGGGCTTTGCCACTAATAATAAAATAAAATAATATTTCGTGAAAGGATTTCCTTTAAATTGCCTTTTATACTTATCTCCAGAAAAAGTAAGCACTAAAAATGAGTTTAAACGGTTGTCAAAGGATTTATTCTTATTAGGGAAACCGGAAAATGAAATTTTGTTTTATTTTCCTCGTGTATGCTTAAATGTCATACGAGTTCCAAAAATAAATAAAACTTTGGGGATTACGTATAAAGTTTAATTTGGAAGATTTAATCTTTCCTCGAGAAAATAAATTGGTTGGGCAAAACGCTATGTAGAAAATGTCTACAACCATTGCCACTATTTATTTACCTGTTGATTGCAACATAAATAATCTATTAACGCTTATTAGCATCTTAGATTATCAGGTTGGCGTGTTTTGTTACGTTGTGCTTTTTTTCACTATACCCTGTAGTAACAGGTTGATTAAAAGTAATGGTTAAATAATGCGGGACCCTATAATACAAAAAACATTGACAAAACAAATGGCAAATGGGAAAAGACCGTGTTTACGTATACATACAGAGCTGGTTTTGTTAATTAAAAAATGGATTTAATTTCAAAATATAAGACGAAAAACTTGAAATTAAACGAAAGGGTCGTCATTCATTTATTAGATAATAATAATTTAATGATGTTTTAACAGAAATTAACAAATTTTTTTAAACTCAAAACAATTGATAGTCAAAAATATTTTGAATATAAAATACAGCCGTAAAACTTTAAGCTGAAAAACATTAATTTTTAAAAATTTTAGTTCAAATTCTAAATTCCATCAAATTATATATTGGAATGCCTATTGTACGCAAAACGGAACTACTTAAGTATAATTATAACACATATAAAGCCCACAGAGATATTCACGATTACAATACTCGCAACAAAAATAACTTGATCGTGGATCATCTTAGATTAAATAAATCTCGAAATTCTTCCCAATACTCTATGCACCTAAATTATAATAAACTGTCTAGTATGTACGAGGTGTGTTCAGAAAATATCGGAAATTTTCGTTTTTTGAAACAAATATTTATTTATTCGTCTAAATTAATGTTGTCACCTTCAAAATAGTCCTCATTGGATTTTATGCACATGTGCCAGCTCTTTTTCCAATACTCGAAACACTTCTAAAACTCGATCTTTGGGATAGCCTTTAGTTCTTCAAGCGATGCGCTTTTAATGTCATCTATGCTTGCAAAACGACGGCCCTTTAAGGTTCTCTTTATTTTTGGGAATAGGAAAAAGTCAGACAGAGGCATGTCTGGCGAATATGGAGGCTGGGGAATAATTACAGTATTGTTTTTGGCCAAAAATTTTGTTCAAAATTTAACAATTTTAGAACAAATTTTGCTGCCACGCGTTTCATACCCAAAACATTCGAAAAAATTTCATGGGATGAGCCAATCAATATATCAACATCATCAGCGACTTCTCTGATGGTTTATAACCATTTCTTCCACTTTTTCCATGTTTTTATCGGTTGTTAATGTGCTTGTGCGTTCGGGGCGTTTGTCATCTTCAATGTCTTCACGGCCATCTTGGAAAATCCTATACCACTTGGAAACTCTTGTTTTACTTATAGCAGACTCACTATAGGCCTTTGTTAACATTTCACAGAATTTATTTCATTTTTTAAGCAAAATTGGATACAAATTCTTTGATCCATTTCTTTTAACGAACGAAAAATCGCCGAGCTCATAAACCACGTCTAACCTTAGCGGCTGCCACAGACAAAGTAAACAATGAAAACAGCTAAAGTTTTTATCATACTTCGGGGGCATGTATACCAACATAATAAAGAAAATTGTGTGACAACCGGACCCTCCGAATTTGCGAAATTTAACAATTTCCGTTATTTTCTTAACACACCTCGTAGTTTAGCATTATTTAATCAATTTAGTTCGAAGATTAATGTGCAAACAAAAAGACCTCCTTTCGTTAAGCAGTTATTCATAATGGATTTTTTAACAGTGGAAGAAAAAATACAAATGATTTTGATTTATGGAGAAGCAGGCGGGAATCTTGATGATGCTGTTAATATCTACGCTCAGCGTTTTCCGGAAAAAATTTACGTACTTCATTTCACCGTACAGTCAAGCAGTTTACTACAAACGGGAGTGTTTAACCGAAAAAAAGAACTCCTCGAGCAACAGTCATAGGTGGAAATAAAAAATGACACTATACAAGGGGTGTCCATTTGATTATTTGATTGTCCTCGTAAGCTACAGAATCTATTTTACTATTCAAAATTCTAGTAGCTCTAGTACAACTATATATATATATTTATATATAGTATATTTTACAGAACATAGGTATATTTGTTATATGAACTTAACTTTTTATTGAAACACTGTAATGTTAGTTGCATATTCCTAAATATTCTGAACGCAGCCTAAAGTGACGTTTACAACTTCCGAACGCATTTCTTTCCAAATCATCAAAGAACACCAAATCATCACACGTCTTTTATCTATGACCAAATCATCACACGATTTTGAAGCAACGCGACAGATTTGAAAGTTCTCTTCATACGTGGCCAGTTTACTAGTGAATTTAAAGACTTGTAAACAGTTAGTTTACTAAAAGGCTGTGATCAGTAAAGATAAAATGGCAAAATTATTGTTCTTTGCCACCGTAGTCTGTGCAGTATCTGGAATTTTGTGCCAAAGCTGCAAAAATCCCCAAGTAACCTCAAAATCCTTTACAACCCAGGATGTTACCATTGTGACGAATGTGGCTTATATTGGTGAATTCGATGTCAAATGCGCATCTGGAGCTGTAAACGCTTTGTACGCTGAAATTGAAGGAAATCTAGTCCCTGTATCAGTAGTGGAAGGCAACAAATATCAAGTAAGTACTCACCATATGACACTAAAAAATGTTATATAAACTATTGTTTTCTTATTTTTAAGGTAAGCTGGACTGAGGAAGCAAAATTGGCTAAAAGAGGCGATAGAGTTGTCAGAGTTTTTGATGAAGAAGGTTTCACAGCTGTTCGCAAAGCAATCAGGGCTGGGGAAGACGCTTCCAGTGTATCTGAGCTCTTCAATGTTGTTATTAACCACCCAGGTGCTTACAGTGGTCCATGGTTGCAAGGAGAAATCGTTGCCACAATTGTTTCTCTTGTTATTGCCTACTTTGCGGTTGTGTCCAGATCAAAGGTTGTTTCATAAGAAGTTGTTAAAGGGCTAATGTTTAGCTCTGTATGTTTGTTAGTTTCGTAATTTATTTTTTATGATATTTGTACAAAGAACATCTACATTTTTTCATGAGTATTTTTATATGAATACATTTTTATAAGGAATTTTAAGTGTTTTACTTAGAAATTAGGGTAAAAAGTATAGTCTTTGGTAATAAAAGGTTAAAAAATTAAAATATTCCAATTTGTGAGAAAAGATTTGGTCTTTGATAATAATTTGTTTGAAATAAAGAAATTTACTTGGTTAAAAATATTAATTTTTAAGAATATTGATTTCTTTTTCAAGATTTTACTTCTGTTTTTTTATTTAAGAAGTAAAACTTTTAATAATTTTAAATAGTTTTTGAGCATATAATTTATAATTAATTAGAATATTTATTTTTAAGAATTTGGTTTATTTTTCACTGCGATTTTTTTATAATTTTAAACGCATTATTTGGTAAAAAATTGTTTCAAATTACATAAAAATATTCATTTCAAAGAATTTTTTTAACCAAAGTTAATATTTACAAATTTTATTTCTTACTTGGATTAAACCAAAATAATGTTAATGCTTACCTGGACTAACATTAATTAAAACGCATTAGGGGTTTTTAAATAAAAATAATTTATTTTCATCAAATTTTTATTTAAGTGCAAAAATTATGACAATATTTACTTTTTAAACCAGTTTTTTGTATAAAAAAATCTATAACATAGCAGGAAAAGGCATATACAAAGTAACAAATTAATTAGTAAATTAATGGTAAGTTAAACGTAATTTTGAAACATTTTGCCAAGAATAAAAGAAAAATAAATTAAGATAAGCTACATTAAATCTTATTATTAGATGTAGGTAATATTAAATCTAAATGCAAAAATAATTTTTTTAAATGATTATTCCATTGCCTGATGAATCACATATAATTATGTATTGAATAAAGAACTAGAAAGCAATTGCATCATGTACATGAGAAAAATAACAAATTAATAAATCTTAAACTACAGTTACAATTGCAATAAATAATTTGAACCCTTAAATTAATTAATAACAGCTTCCGGTAAAAAAATGCCTTTAATCTACTTTTATTTATTTGTGTATTCATGTACCAGTCCTTTGGTAATTTGTATACAATTCTTACCTAATAACCAACAAATAGTGCAAATACGTTTTTTGCCAATACAAATTGATATGCATATATACTTATGAGTATTACATATACATATTAAAGTGCTGTGTCTGACAAAACATTTCATATAGTTTTACATAAAAGCCAAAGTTGTAAGTAAAAAACACATTCTCACCATGAAATTGGGAAAGATTAGGAGGCGCAGTCATTCTGCGCAGCAAAACGGATGCGCAGGCACTGGTATCCTGGCGACCTGATAATCTTTCCCTGGGAATTTACGTATCTCAAAGCTGTTATTTTAAACGTAACAAGCATAAACATGCAACAAAGTTTTACCACATTACTAGCACCTATATCCTGTTTTACAGTAAGCTTATTCCCCGAAAAATTGACACAAAAATGTACCCTTCCTTAAAAAATGTCCTATATTCAAAAATATATTTATATTCTTTCATTGGTTGTGTACATGTCATAATGTAAAAGATGAGATGATGATTAACTGCTATACATACAAAATAATATATTACAAAGGAAATGAAATTATTTCGATAATACAGGCTGATTTAAATGGTTTGTGTTCATTGTTCAGTCCGTACAAATAATTAATGATTTTTTGAGATTTTCAACACGCTTCTACTGCTTATAACTATCAATACAAAACGCATTTTGTTTTCCAAAAGTTGCTGTTACCACACACTCATATGGCGCTTAATTTATTGTATTAATAAATTGTATTGTCATGATTTTACGCGTACAAAATGTGATGCTTAGTCGAAAAAATAAAACGAAATGTCATGGCCTTATAAAAATAAATTCCACATGGTAGCAACAACGGTAGAAAATCCTTAATTTACAAATTATTAGGCAGTGTTAAGAATAAAAAAATTAATGTATATAAAAAATATAATAAACAGTTTTTCTATGGGACAACTAATGATCCCTAATATCTAGGTATAGAGAGAATTTTGAGATTTCCTTTTTATTTTAAGTCAATTCATATTAAAGCATAGTGGTAATATGCCTTAGTTAAATATCTGTAGAGTTGAACGTAATTTTTAACATTTTTAAATATACTATAATAATCTATAGTACAATAAAGATTGAAGAGAAAAAATATTTAACACTTAACAAACGCCATTACAATTTAAAAACCGTTACCTCGGATCAAGTCATTTTTAAACTGCAATGGAAAACATAATATATTACTATACATTAAATTTATTTTGATTTTTAAACATTAGAACCTATTTAAAAATAAAATGGACGAATTTATGAATAATAATAACTCTTAAACGAAAAAAAAAATAATTAGAACACATTATTCGAGAGAAAGTCTGAAAAATAATCCACAACACTGAAAGCTGAGAAAATTTGTATTTCGCCGCAAACACTGTAGCACTGCACATCATAATATCGTCGGCAAAAAGAAAACAATAATCGAAAAATAAAAACAAAATTCAACCGCATGGTACATTGCAACAGAGCGCGCGCGAAAACGCTGCCTTATTTCGTAATATCATTATTAAAGAGAATTTTTCTAAACGTACGTGGCCATAGCATTGGTGCCGCCACCCGCTCCAGAACCACTCCCCAGCTGCTTCATATTACTCGGAACATATTGCCCAATAAACGAACCATCTTCGGTGAAACGACCTAAACAAAAAATGCATCAGTTTCCACTCTATGACTATATAGTATTGGGTATTTGTGTGGCTCCAAAAAAACGAGTAAAATTAAACTAAAATATTTTTATGCGAAATTGGAAAAATATTCGTTTTTTTGAGTTACCCAAAATCAACTCATTCACAGTGACTCAGATTGCAATTTTGTGTTTAATATGTTATTTGCAAATTGAATCACTTGGCTAAAAACCGTACATTATCAAACCAACTTTTTTACCCATAAGGCCTCGTTATTTTATTCGATGGCGTGCTGGTTTCTATCGATTAGGTCGTAAAAATCAAAATAAAATAACGAGACATAAAATTACTTTGTTAGTAGGTATATGCAAAAAAATACACACAAGTTAGTATTTGTTAGTCAAATGTAGCTTGTATCTTACACATTAAACTAGTGTTGTAAACCCTTGCGATGTGGTCTCGCCCTGACCGCGTTTGCGACCATATTGGCCAATAAATGAACCGTCCTCATTCATACCCTCTATAGAAATAAAAAAAAAAGAAAATAAATAAAATAAAAATTCTCCAAAATATAAACACCATGCTTCAAAATTAAAGCATATTCAAATTTAACTGTCTTACTAGTTTGGATTGTCAGAAATACAGTCCGCGCGTTATAACTTGGCGAGAATGGTACGCCCTTCAAGTTCAGTTTAATACGTGTTTGGCAAAGCTTTTTTTGCTATTTGTTCAATTTATTGTATAGAAAGTGTACCCAAATTTCATCGTATGTCAAAGTTATTGATAAACTAGTTTAAAAAATATATTAAATTATAAAGTGAAGGTAACAAAGTAGTATAATCTTATAAATACGTACAGTATATTTTACCTGTATAAAATACAATTTTTAATGCTGTGACAATTTTGACAAGTTTTTCTTGACAAATCCCATAACCTATCATTCTGCATTAAGTAATTGCTAATGTCAGTCATTTTGCCGGTTATTCCGACTAATTTACACTAGGACAAAAATGTAAATCTTCTAGACTGGCCTGTAAACTCACCGGACATTAATACTATTGAGAATTTGTGGGATATGTGTAAGGATAGGTTGCTGAAAATGAATTCTACAACAAAAACTAAGATGATTGAGGCTGTCATTCAGGTATGGTTTCGAGATGACAAAATAAAGGAAAATTGCAAAACATTGATTAATTCTATGCCAAAACGAGTTGCAGCTATATTTATAAACTAGTAGTTTGTATTTTCTTCAATAAATAATATTTAACGTAAATCTATTTGGGTTCACATTAATTCGCACAATATTGTACGTATATTACCAAAATGAAACATTACCAAAAATAATCTAAGAAGGAAGTATTGTCAAGTGAAGGAGTAATGGCGGAAACGAAAAATAAACTTAAGTAATTGTACCAATGAATGTTTTTTTCATACCGGGATAAAAAGTATCTACAATATTAAACTTAAATATATACATATATATATTTAATAATTACAAATTATTTTGTTTATTTCACCCTTCAAAATTTAATCTTAATCTTCGACGCCGCTGGTAGGCAGTAAACAAGTGCCAACGGCTACGCCCACATGCGTAGAGCTTCGCCAAGTTATAACGCGCGGACTGCAAGTCAGTTATTTTAACTATATTGGATATTTTATCCAATATGCCTTAATTTTGAAACGATTTGCGGGCATGACAAAAATAAAAAGGTACACTGTGTAGGTATTAAAAAACTTACCAGTGTCACCATCCCCATATTCTGCCATGGAGTCGGTGTCACTCTCAGGTCCAACTTTGTGGTCGCTTGCCATCGAAGCTCTCGATTTATTGTCCAACCTATAAAGGACACATTGTTGTATGTTGCAGAGGAAAAAAATGTAAAATGCTTACGGCTGAGAATATTCGTGGAAGCCCCCTTCGTCGGGATAGTCGTGACGTCCATTTTGCTGTTCTCTTTCGTGAACAGCGTATTTACCACCGCGATTCCTCTTGACGATGCAAGCGATAATGAGGATCAATAGGAGGAAAGCAATGGCCAACATCATTCCGATGAACCATCCAGCGGTGGCGACATTTTCTTTCGGCCTTATTGAAGGTCCGTCGACATCATAGGTGCTTACTTCTTGTACGTCGCTGTCCACGTGGCTTTCGCCATCTACCGAGACAACTTTAAAGTCGTAGAGCTCGCCCACTTCCAATCCGGGAACGACCAGGAAGTCCTCCGACTTCTCCGGAGGCGTCAATAGGAAATTGTCGTCTCCGCGCTTCTTGTACTTGACGTAGAAGTGCGAACCGGGTTTGCCGTCCTCGTTCGGCAACCAATGGACTTTCACGGCGGCTGACAGACTGTCTTTTACGATGCTCCAATCGAAAGTGGGTTTCGATGGGACGTGGAAGCCCGCTTCTCTCGTCACGCGTTCGATGAAGAATCTCTTCGACTCGCCGGCTTTAGTGGTGGCGCTGATGTAGATCCTGTACTTGGTTCCTGCTTGCAGACCGCCCAACTTGGCGCGTTTCCTGTTCGGATCCTTAATTTGCGGCGTTCTCTCCTGCGGTTGTCCCACTTTCATGCTGCTGTCCACCACGGCGTAATAAATGTTGTAGCCTGTTAGTATGCCGTTCGGTCTGTCGGGTCTCTCCCATTTGAGCATAAAGGCGGAACTTCCCAGCGGGATTGCTTCCAGCGTGTCCATTTCTCCGGGCACGCCTTCGGGCGTATCGAAGCCGAGAGTTTCGCTGGGCGGTCCGTTATATTTGCCGTTGTACACGTAAACTTGAGCGTAATTTTTGGTGAAAGGTACCAAAGTGTTGACGAGGGCCGTTTTGGCGAGGCCTTGCACTTGAATCTCGTTGTGTATGGGAGATTGGTCGCTCCAGGTCTTGATTTTATAGCCCTTGAAGTCGCCCTTTACCGATTCCACGGGTACTGGTTCCCAGCTTAAGATGGCGGTGGTGGCGCTTTGGATGGAGAGCAGCGAGAAGTTTCTGGGTGCCAATTCGGGCTCGCTTTCGCCGGAGAAACCGATCACCTCTTGCGGGGCCACGTCGGCTTCTCCCATTTCGTTGAAAGCCACCACTTTAATTCGGTATTGCTGGAAGGACGGTTGTCCGGGTATGACGAGTCTATCTTGTTCCCAGTTGTTGATTTCATCTACTTGGTAATTTTTACCGGAAATGTCACGTTTCCAGAACACTTTGTACTTGAATCCAGGGGCGTTGTGTTCGATTTTGGGCATTTTCGTCCAGGTTATAACCAAATTATCGGGTTGATCGCCTTCGCCGACCACGTTATCGGGATTTTTATGCGGCACCTCCGGTCTCGTGCTGCACACGCTCGAGTGCGACGATGGTAGCGACCTGCCGATTTTATTGATGGCCATCACTCTGAACGTGTAGTTCGCCCACGGGCTCATGGGCACGTTGTAAGTCATATCGGCCGAGGGCACGCTATCGTACGCGTCCTCCCACGAATCCGGAGTGAAACTAGTGTTGAATTGTATGATAAAGTGCAAAATTGGAGTGCGGTTATCGCCCATGGGTTCCCAGCTGATTGTGGCGTCTTTTTCGTGACACTCCACTCCCTTCATTTGCGGTGCATTCGGCACGTCTTGTACGGTGAGTTGCGCGGAAGCCCTAGCCTCGTCTAGATCGGTTCTAGCCAGGCACGTGTAAGTACCGGAATCGAGTTCGATAGTTTTCGTGATCGTCAGCGAGTAATCGGAAGACTTAACGAAGCGCGGCTCGCCTTCGAAGTCGATTTGTTCGTCGTTCTTAAGCCAAAGGATTTCGAGATTGAGCGATTCGTCGGCGACTGCGTTACAACGGAACGTCGCTATCGTACCAGCTTCAACCTCGTAGTCCTCTGGATCGTCGGTTATATAAGTGTGAGCTTTAATTGTTAATTTAGCGTTGGCCGAGGTATTTCCTAATTTATTTTCGGCGAAGCAGGTGTAGTTGCCGCTATCATCAAATTGAACTTTCTTGATAAACAAATCACCGTTTTCCATGATGACGTATTTACCACCAGTCAATTCTTTACCGTTGTGGATCCATTTAACGTTCGGTTTCGGAGCTCCAAGCACTTTACACGTCATATTTACATATTGATTATCTACAGCATCAGTGTCTCTTGGTGCTTCAGTGATTTCCGGTGCCAAAGCCAATACGTTAACGTAAACGTCTTTGTAGACATAACCAAGCGAATTGGTGGCGTTACAACCGTAGTTCCCGGTATCGCTCTTCTGCAATCTTTCGATGATAATACGGTTTTTGTATACTTTACGTCTAGGATTGCTCGGCGCCTCGCTTATGGGTTTACCGTTGTGAATCCACTTGATTTCCGGTTCCGGTACGCCGGAAGCTTCGCATCTAAATTCAGCCGTCTCGTCTTCGGCCGCGTTGATTCTCTCCGGTTCAACGGTGAAGTACGGTACAGCTAAAATATTTTTTTGTGTTATACAGTGTGGTCCGTATTAGGAAAATAGTTAGAGTAACTTTTAAAATATAATGCTGTGCACGGACGCCATACCACGTGAGTGATTTGTCAACACTGTATGGCTAATAATATGCCATATTACAAGTATAAAAATCGGATCTTTTTCTTTACTTCCACCACTGAAAAATTTGTTCTTAGGCACCATATTTCATTATTAAACGTTTAATTACATTTTTATAGGAAATTTGTAGGAAATTGAATGCTCTACAAAAAGGATTGATGTTTTTAAGCAATTACTCTAACCATTCAGAGGATATTCAACATCAAAATTTGAAAAAATTATTAAACATTTTTTTTTAATAATTTTAACTCATTCAAAAATAATTATAGTCAAATGATTATACCATATTTTTGTAGGAAATTTAACGCTCCACAAAAAAGGTCTGATGTGTTTAATTGATACCTCTAACCGTTGAGAAGATATTTGTATCAGTACGCATTGGGATTCGGATACAAACGGTTAGAGAAATCAACCAAACATATCAGGGCGTTAAATTTCCTACAAAAGTATGTCAAACTCACTTGACAATAATTATTTTTCAAGGAGTTATACAATTATAAAAAAAAAATAATAAATTCTTAAACCTTTGTTCTTGAATATCTTTTAAATGGTTAGAGAAATCTCTTAAACACATCGGTCCTTTTTTGTAGACCATTCAATTTCCTACAAAAATATGTATAAAGATTTGATTAAACGATTTATTAATAATGAAATATGGTCTTTTTGATAAGGGACTAAAGAAAAAATGGAAAACTGTGATGAGGATCTTCCTATTAATATTAAGAGCTCAAATTTGGTGAGCACTTTTTCAGTGCCGGAAGTAAAAAAAAAATATACATATATCACCCTACTGAGTATTAAAATATTTTATCCGAAATCGGCAGTAAAGTGGTCAACAATCGGCAGTAAAGTAGAACTTTACTGCCGATTGTATTGTATGCAACCCATTATACATTTTAAGATATGTCTACTGCTCCTCAGTAGCAACTAAATAATATTTAAAAAAAGCACCGTCGCGGAGGTCGTTTGGACCCTTTCATAAAATGTTTAATAAAAATAATAAGTTAATTTTATTAATAAGATTAAAAAATCGCCGCGGCGGGCAAATATAAAATAACCGTCGCAACAAACACTAGAAACTTCCTACATTCAAATGACATTTGATTTGATCATCAAATGACATTTGATTTAATCATCAAAATTAATTATTAATACTATTAAATGTGATTTCGGATAAAATTTAATATGCCCCTCGGCATTAAAGTCATTTTTTATTTATTCGTGATAAAAAAATACGACTTTACTGCCTTGATACATAATTATTTTTAACAATTATTGTTTATCGAAAAATTAACAAAAATGTATTAAACCTTTGGCTTGGAAAATTGAATTTATTTTGCAATTTATTTATTTTTTATTGTGGAAAATATCAGTGGAAAGGTAAAAAAAGCCTTACCCATAACCTGTAGGTTGATGGAGTATGATTTTGCTTCTCCAACTCCATTACTGACTTCGCAAGTATATGCGCCTTCGTCTTCAAAATCGACGACCTTTATTATGAGGGACTTCCCGTAATTGCCCTGCGTTATTCGATCCGAACTTTGTACTAGCTGCCCGTTTTTCGACCAAACCGTCTGCGGAAGAGGTGTCCCGCCAAATATGCAGAACAATTCGGCTCGTTTTCCTCGATAAGCCACTTCGTTTTTCCTGGTCACATATTGCAATTCCGGTGCATGTTTGTTTTGCGAGGCGGAAACCCCGCTAGATATAACTTTGAGGATGACAAGGTTGCCGTATTTGTATTCGTGTTTGGTCGGCGAGGTGGCAACGCAGGCGTAGTGGAAGTTGTCTTGAACGGCATCGTCGGCTTTGGTCAAGTTTGAGAACCACAGGTTACCCTCTGGATCCAAAGTCATCCTGGAGCTGTTGATGGTTTTGAAAGCACCATTTGTGTAGTAGTACATCCAGTTGACCACTGGTTTCGGCCATCCATCTGGCGGCGAGCATTGCAACTTAAAGGGTTCTCCTTCGTTTCCGCTTAGGGGTTTCGGTTGGGTCGATTTGAAGGAGTTCAATTCGGCTTTTCTCATGAACACGGAGTTGGAAGTGGCGATGCCGTATTGATTTTCGGCGAAACATTGGTACTGGCCGAGATCGACATCGGACGGTTTGGATATTGAGAGGGTACCGCGACCAGTTTGTTGCGATATACGGTCGTCATACGTCTGCCATTTGAACTCTTTGCCGTTTTTCATCCAGTAATACTTGGGTGCGGGCTCGCCTATTGCCTCGCATTCTATGTAAAAAGGTTTTTGGTGGTCGCCGGTCGATTCTACTTGAAAAAGCACCTCGTCGGTGGGAGGTTGTTTTACTATGTAGGGCGGTGACGGTACTGAAATATTTTTTGTTGTATAATTTTGTGGTATATTTTTTATTATAGACTTACCTTCCCTAGCTACATTATAACCAATGTGTAACAATAGAAAAATACTTAAATATAGCGCGTTTTTCATTTTGAATATGTCCATTTAACCTAGAAGAGAACGACCGTCTTAAATAAATTAAATGAACTATTATTGCATTATTAAACACTCAAATTTAATTAAGTGAATGTCTCAATTACTAATATAACAAGAGGGTACCATTTAAAGATAGACACATTCAGCTTCCAAGTGGTTAAACTTGAAAATAAAAGGATTCACCTTAAATTGTATGGCATAATTTTAAAAGGAAGGTCGAATTTATATATTTAGATCTCACATTTAGGTTTTATATTGAATAATGACACATTTGAATAAAATAACGAGAAAATTGTTATAAATAAACATTACTAATAATTATAATTACAGATAAAATATTAATATATGCAATGTTTACGCAATATTATTTATTTACAACTTTATTACAGCTGCCAAAATAGTGTGGTATTGTTATTTAAATACCACTAGTGTTTAGGATGTCCCATTTAAGAAACGAATATTGTTTGTAACTGTTGTTCTGCATAACAGGAAACTAATAATGTTGAATTTTAAATAAAAATGCAAGCTTAACTAATTATAAAATTGGTTCGTTTTTAAAAATAGGTCAGGAGTTTTTAATAAAAATATCGCTTTTACAATATTATTAAACAATTTTTACATGAGATCATTATGAGTCATCCAAGTACACATACATTAATCCAATGGTCATACATTAAAAGGTGTAATATAAAACATAAATTCTTCATATTTTCGTATATTTCACAATTTGGGTACGATAATCTAAAAATATTGATGACTTCATAGAAGAAATGACATTTTAAAACAAACTTATGATGTCACATTTTATATATAATTATTTATACCTAATAATTAAAAAACATAGCCTGAATTTATAAAAAGGTTAAATTTAGAATGTTACACAAGCTATAGTAAACTACTTGTTTTAAAATCAATTACTACACCTACATGACAGGTGTTTTGGCCACTTTATTTATTCATTTCTACCCCATAAAATCCTAATATTTATTTTAATACCGTATATTAAGTAAAAACCGCACACCTCAAGTAATCCATGTAATGTTTGTGCATGCATTTTGCCTATATGAAAAAGCAATTACAAAAACTGTTTACATTCAATCTGAATTTGCTCGTTTAAACCAATCAAAGCCAAATAAAACCTTATCATAAGTTTCCATTGGGACACCCATTATAACCCACAGATAAATTAAACTTACCTGATAATAATTATTTGTTCGTCATAACGATTATACACCTAATCTACTACAAAACACAGGCACAATGATATAGGTGGGGTCGTATAACCGCGTCACAAACAACTGAAACAAACTTCGATGAAAAACAAACTGAAAACTTTTTCTGTCGGCTTTTTAATGTTAAACAAAAAATAAATATCAATTTTAAAGTTGCATAGCGTACAGTTATAGGTGTGTTTAGTAAATTCTGTGAAAATGAATCATTTTATTTTAGTTTACAACCATACAATATGGTAGGCGTGGTAAATTACAGTTTAAAGTCACTCTGACATCTGTCAAACTTCGGGATAAACCGTAAACAACATTGCAGATTCCTTCTAAAGCACTTGCGCTATTCAAGAGTTCCGTAAAATTGGAGTAGATGGCGTTATGTACATTAAATTATAATTTTGATTATTTTAACGATTAATAATTAATGGTTATTTTTTAATTTAATTGGAAACTATTAAAGGTCTATGAACGATATTCCAATAGTTCATTATAATTTTGTATCTTGTAATTTAGTGCCGATAAAAAAGTTGTTTTTCGTTGTAAATTTCGAACTTTTTTGGTGGTTTGTTTTGAAGATGAAACTGACCTAATTAAAATGTAAAATTTTGGATACAGTGAGATCATAATTATTTTTATTGAAAGAGGTCACATATCTGTGTTTGATAAAATCGAAAAAAATGAGGGAATAAATTATTTTGATTGGGTAGGTACTACTTTAAAATTTAAAATCCTTGCATATTTTTGATCAGTGTATAAGGTAGGTATTTATCACAAATAAACAAGTAGATGAAAAGAAGAAAAACAGGATACAAAAACTGACCATGCCTTAATTACGACAAGAATCTTGGTTAATTATTTAGTAAATGAGCGACGAATTCAATGAGATATTTAAGTAGCGCCCAAATAAGATTATTAATACTAAAATATTAATACCTATAATACACACTAAAATAAACGTATAATAATATCATAAAACAAGTTGTGACGCCCATGTTTCTGGTAAATCCAGTAGTTTGTGCAGTGCAGTTATTTACATTTTTTTAGTCTTTATTTATTCGTAGACGCGTGCAGTGAATCCACAAATTTCATCAAAAAGACATGGTCGCTTGAGAAAAATAATGTTTTACTACAAAGTGCTTTATGTATTTAGTTTAATAGCTCCTCTGCAACTTGCATATGCGCAAGGTAAGTCAAAGTCTGTACATCCCGACGCAAAAAAAATAATAAAAACAATATTCCAATAAACTGGGATTTTTTCACTTAATAATTATGTATTAATACACATAATGCGTCACATTTAATTGATTTTGTAACGGTCCAATTAATATACTTACTTCATTTAAATATTATCAATAACATAACGTAATAATTTCAGTTGGAAATCCGTGCAAAATTAAATTCAGTGGATATTCCGGTATTTGCAAAATATCTACGGATTGTCCCAAAGTCGAGGAACAAGCTAAACGTGGCATAAGCCCCACAATATGCGGATGGTATGAACTGACAACCCCAATTGTTTGTTGCGAAGGTAGGAAACTTTTCAGTTAATCAATTTTTTGTTAACCGAAGGTTTTAACGAAGCAATTCATTTTTTCTAGATAGTAATTCATTTAGCTCCCAGCCAAACAGTTTGGACCCCATATCATTTCCTGAACAACCTACTAGACCTGTAAACAAAAAACCGGGCGGAAATAAGAGAAAAAGCGAAGAGAGTAAGTGAATAACAAAAAAAATACAAAAAAATAATGTATACATTTATTATTATTTTATAAAATGGTTTTAGAATGTCAAGAATACAGCCAATCGATAACATCGACCGTACAGGCTATTCCCTTGCTTACAGAAACAGAACCAATAAACATAAACATAGCAAAATGCGACTATAACAGCGTAGCCCTTATTGTGGGTGGCAAACCCGCTGGAATAGGCGAATTTCCTTTTATGGTAAACTACATTCGTAAAAATAAAAACAAAATAGAATTTTTTCACAATATTTTCAGGCCGCGATTGGTTTTGAAGGCGACAACAAAATTCTATGGAACTGTGGAGGAACTCTGATAAGTGATAAATTCGTACTGACCGCGGCCCACTGCACCTTTTCTAGGGACTAGTAAATAAATACACCCCAAATATATTTCGATAAAAAATCAGGGGTAGTAAAATAATCAATTTAAAGTTATTTTCACAATAGTAATCAAACAAAAAAATTAAATAATTTTCAAAAATATATAAATAAAATCTGACATCTGTCAGACGGTTTTAACCTTACTTTTTAAAGTCGCTTTATTTTGACGATTGTATGAAATTTGACAACTCTCAACTAACTTAAGGCTTACTTCAGCCCTTGACCAACAAGTCCGGAAGCCACTGTTGCTAAATTCAGCCCGTAACTAAAACGCCATAAAGTCACAGCTTGTAAATGTGTATTTAAAAAATCATGAAAACATGTACAATAATGGGCGTTTTAAAGGGGGGAGTAGAAAAAATATTTTATCTACTCCTACATTGACGAGCTGTTACTTTATGGCGTTTTAGTCACGGGCTGAAGTTAACAACAGTGGCTTTTGGGCATTTTAATCACGGTCTGAAGTTAGCTTTATTATAAATTGCAAAAAAGTGAGGTTAAATTTGTCAAATGTCAAATACGTATAAATTAAAATTGGCTTTAAATTCTTATTTCTGTTCGTCGTAGATAAAGTAAAGTATGCAATTCGTTTATTAACTTCTCTAGACACTCGTTTATATTAAACACTCGCTCGCAAACTTCGCTCGTGCTTAATTAAACTCGTAACTAAAATGGCGTTGATACATAATATACTATTATCTACTTCTACATCGACGAGCTGTGAATTTATGGCGTTTTAGTCACGGGCTAAAGTTAGCAATAGTGGCTTTTGGGCTATTTAGTCACGGGCTGAAGTTAGCTTTATTTTAAATTGGGAAAAATTGAGGTTAAATCTGTTGACAGTTGACAGATGTCAAATGTTTAACAAATAAAATTAGCTTTAAATTCTTCTTTGTGTTCTTCATAGATAAAGTATAGTATGCAACCCGTTTTATAAACTTCCCTAGACACTCGTTGTTATTAAACACTCGCTCGCAAGCATCGCTTGTGCCTAATTTAAATAACTCGACTATTTTTTGGTTCCCATTTTAAACACACCCTTAAAATAAAAACAAGTTTTAAATTGATAATTTCACTATCCGCGATTTCTATCGAATCCGCCCTGTATATTTCTAAACCTTTAATTTCAGCGGAGATCCAAAAGTGGTCCGTTTGGGCGACTTAGACTTGACCCGTACAGACGAAGGATCAGATCACGTTGACTACGACATTTCCCGCATAATATCACATCCCAAGTATGTCCCAAATGTAAATTATTACGACATCGGTCTTCTTGAATTAAACAGGAAAGTAAAAATAACGCAGTTCATACGACCAGCGTGTCTTCATAGTAAAAGAAGAATTGACGAGAGAATCGCAGTGGCTACAGGTTACGGGGCTACAGATTATACTGCAGAAAATGCTAATAAGTTAATGAAAGTGTCGTTGAATATTTATGATAACAATCTATGTGCTAGGGCTTTTAATACGGAGAAAAAACTGCCTAGGGGTATTACAGAGAACATGTTATGCGCTGGGGAACTGGAAGGGAACAAGGACACTTGCCAGGTAAAACATATTTTTGTTCGTCAAGCTTACAATGACAGTTATATGATAAAGCAAATATAAGTTGGTTAAGGGAACACGTTTCATTGTTTCAACATTCTTACAGGGTGATTCCGGAGGTCCTTTGCTGGTGACCCAAAAGGACAACCAGTGCAAATTTTTCGTGGTGGGTATAACGTCGTTTGGAAGACTTTGCGGTATTAAAAATACTCCGGCTGTCTACACGAGGGTGTCTGATTTCGTGCCTTGGATCGAGGAGACAATTTGGCCATAATTTTATTTTTTCGAACAATTTTTAGTACTTATGTAACATAAATAAAAATGACAAATAAAGTTCTTAAACCTTTCGCGATTTTATTAATTGTAACAATAACAATGTTATATAAAAAAACAACGGCTGTTAATTACTAGTAATTAGAATACATTAAAGAATAAAGAAATAGAATTGAAAAACACGTTTCAGATCAGTGTTTCGTAGCGGCTGGAGATGTTGCATTTACTTGAAATCTATTTATTAGTTAATTTAGTGTTGGTTCAAAAAATCGCTTATGGGCAAGTGGGTGAAAACTGCCTAATACATTTGAGTGGAGGTATACATGGTACTTGCAAATACGCGGCCGATTGTCCCAAGGCTGTGGAACAAGCAAAGCACGGTATAAGACCTCATAACTGCGGATTTGACGATCTCACGCCTATTATTTGCTGCGAAGGTAATTTTTATATATTTTTAAATTAATATATTCAAAAAAATTATTTTAGATGATGACTCGTTTTTCTCAAAACCGCGCAGTTTAAACGAGCCCGAGAAACGTATATGCGAGGAGAGTAAGTTTTCGTTAAAATAACAAGATACCTATTTAACTTTTTTTTTATTTAAAAGTTTCAAGTGAATTTAATAAACAGGATTTTTTTGCATTTTAAACACAAAATTCTCGGGAGATATAAATAAAGAGGTATAATATATTTTGTAGACACCTATTGCAAATTATTGATTTTTTTGGGTTTTCCCTAACAACAGAAATAATGAATTCATTATTCACGTTTTTATGCCTATAGGCATCAGTGATTGGCTAATTTCAATATTCACTGTGATGTGAACCAATTGGGATTTAAATTTTAAAAAGTGAGGTTGGAACTTTTTAACAGATTTTTTGATATACAGGGTGTCCATAGTTATCTGCTCACAATTCTTCGTTATTATTTGAGCTACGAAGTCGGTTAAATTAGAAAATGAATAAAATATTTTCTTCCGATTAAAATGATGAAAACGGAAAAACAATTGAACGTCTGGTTACCGAAATATTAACAAAAATAACATTTTTTTTAATGGAACACACTGTATGTTTTTACATATTTTCAAAAGTCTATTTAATTTGTAACAAACATTGTTATTGAATAACTAGCCTAAACTTAAAAATAAACAAATAATAAGCACATAAACTAATCGTAGTTAATAGTATATTATGTATCAAGTTTGATAAACGCCATTTTATACACGAATTTAATTTAGGCACGAGCGAGCTTGCGAGCGAGTGCTTAAGTTAATGAGTGTATAGAAAAGTTTATAAACGAGGTGCATACTATACTTTTTCTACGACAAATACTTATTATTATCTTAAAATGATTTAAATCAAAAATTTGTGTAGAGCGCCATCTATGAAACAACAGGGGAAACTGTCAAATGTCACATTTTTACATTTTATAAACACAATTATAAAGGTTAAAAATCGAAATGTATCTTGAAAATGGACAGTTTTTCACAGTAAAAGTAAAGGAAATGTTTTATGAGGACTTTACAGTAGAGTCCATGTCCGCATTTAAGTTATAGTTTACTGCCGGCGAAATTAAAAGGTCAGTACAATGTTCATATAAATTTTTCAAATATTGGCGTTGAGAAAATATTTAATATTTTTGTGTTGAGATAATAAAATAATTTTCACATTTAGTATTATTTTACAAGAAAGGCACTTTATTTTAACGATTGTATGACATTTGACAACTGTCAACTAACTTAAAACTAACTTCAGCCCGTGACTAAAAACCTGTTGCTAACTTCAGCCCGTGACTAAAGCGCCGTAAAGCCACAACTTGTCAATGTGTATTTAAAAGGTCACTTAGTGTCATGGAAACATGTACGATAAAGGGCGTTTTAAAGGTGGGAGCAAAAAAAATAAAGTAATAATTTGGTTATTTTAACAACCATCTTTGCTTAAGATAATAGTATATTATAATATATTATATATATTATATATTATATATAATACGAAAGATAATGCGCCTTACCTCGAGAGTAATACTATTCTTTATCTACTCCAATAAGTAGATAATTAAATGATTTGAAAAAATAAATATATAAAATCTGACATCTGACAACTTTAACAATTTTAAATGTTATTACAGTCGCCTTTTTTCAATTTAAAACCCGATCGATTGGTTCAAATCAGATTAAATATTAAAATCGGCCAATCACTTCTTGGCCTAATGACATAAATCTTTCTTTTATCAGAATCTCATTCCACATCAAATATTAAAAAAAAAAAATTTTTTAGAATGTCATGAATATAGTAAATCAGTAACAAAAACCATAAAAGGATTGTCTTTACTACCGAACGCTGAAAACTCAAATATTGAGGGTTCGAAATGTGATTTTAATAAAATACCGTTTATAATTGGAGGAGAACCGGCTGAAGAGGGGGAATTCCCTTTTATAGCGGCCCTGGGCTACAAAATAGAAGACAAAATAGAATGGTTATGTGGCGGAAGTCTAATAAGCGAAAAATTTATATTGACTGTAGCGCATTGCATATACTCGTCCAAGTAAGTGCAGTAAAATAATTATCATAATTAATTAATATTAATGCACAAGTTTTAGTGGTATTCCCAAGCTAGCGCGTTTGGGTTATACCAACCTTAAAAATCCAAACCCGAATATACACCATGCAGAAATAAAAATACTTCGAACGATAGAACATCAAAAATACGACCCCAAGTTTAACTATAACGATATTGCTTTATTGGAGCTAGAAACACCTATAGAATTTTCCAAATATATCAGACCAGCTTGTCTGCAGCCAATAAGAGAGTTCAACGAGTCTTTAGCCACGGCTATAGGTTATGGCATAAATAATTTTTTTGAAGAAACCAAATCAGACGACCTACTCAAAGTTGGATTACACGTTTATAATAATTCTGTGTGTGATAATGTTTTTAAATCCGATAAACATGTGCCTAATGGTATTGTGGATACTATGCTATGTGCTGGAGAGGTGAACATGGCGAAAGATACCTGTTATGTAAGTAAACGATTTTAAATCACAGTGATGTAATTCATAGGTTTGTTCCTACCGAGCATTTGGACTGTCAAATGGACGTCAAGGACATGCGCAATAGTAAAATGTTCGTATTGCGCATGCGATTTTGGTATTGCGCATGTACAAACCTAATATTTTTTAGGGTGATTCAGGCGGTCCTCTATTTATAACAGACCAACACAATCATTGTAAATTTTACATAATAGGACTCACTTCTTTCGGAAAATACTGCGGATTCAACAAACCCGCCATCTATACAAGAGTGTCGGAATATTTGGACTGGATTGAGGATATTATATGGAAATAATACGAAACTTTAATCAAACATTGTATTAATAAAAAGACTATTTTAATAAACAAATATTAGAAAACCATGCGGATAGAATCAGTAAAAAATTCTCATCCACTATTTTATTAAAATTATCGCTCTTCCATCTCATCAGTAAGTATCTTTTGGTGACATCTTTTTCAGACTTAAACTGATCGGATCTGGTAGGAGTTTCAGTCTTGATAAGTTCGGCACATCTTCTTTTCAGGTAATCGTTAAAGAACTGAAGTTCCGAGTGTAAGTTCCGTTGGTAGAATTGAAGTTCCAAAGGATCGATAGTTTGTATTGTTACCGTGACTTGAGCGGCCAAAAACGCCATCAGCATTTCCAGAGTTTGCTTTACACCGGAAACGCTTAGGTCGCAAATCCAGGGGTCTGACAGTCCTGAATATTCATACATTCCAAATCTTAGGAACGAAGACAACTTTTGGGTCGGAAAATCGTCTATTTTGTTAGGATATTCCACTAATCCAATGTACTTCATATGATTTTTGCGCAGATTTAAATCAATAGGTTCAGGTTTTTCCAGGGGAATTTTCTGCGGTTTTTGCTCTAGCTGGTTTAAAGTTTTACATAGAAAATGTGCGATGCATAGTAATCTACCGTACGTTAAATCATAGGTGATTACGGAGTCGAAATTTGGCACGCTAAAATCGTTGATGATCAACGTATAAAAATTATCCGAATTTGAAGAACTTAGCAAATCCGTTAAGCTGGGATTTAACTTGTACAGACAACTAAAGGCCAACCCAATGATTGCTATCAATCTAAAACACATTCTTAGTTAAGTTAATCTGCTCATGCGCAGTATATATTTACTTACTTATTCATTACAGTAACCATGAGGTTATTAGCAATCATATCGGGCGATAGTATTTTTTCCGGGTCGTTCATTGGTTGAAAACTGATATTTTTTGGACGCAATATAACCGAAACGCATGCGTTAATAATTTTTTTAATTCCCATCTAAAATTATTTAATATACCCAAAATATACAAAAAATAATGATGAAATCAGTGACTTACCATAACATTGGAGTATGTTTCGTTCGATCTAGAGTACCATTCGTGATTTGAGTACGTTACAATTGTTTCAACCATAGATAATGTTTCTGCGACCAAATCCAAAGCGTTTAAGTCTACTGTCACTTCAATAAGCGAGAAGATGTGCTGCACTAGGGCCTCGTTCAGAGAGAAAAATAAGTATACGTTTGGTAGGGCGAAATATTGAAACTGTTTGACTAGGGCGTGTGTGAATTTTAGCACTAGAGTGTATGTTAGCCAGTTATCTTGCATTTGTACAAAATTTACCTGGAAATATGTTATTTGTAATTAATAAAATACTAAACGGTGTATTATTTTACCTTATTATTGCCCTCAAAAAGTATCAAGTTCTTCAATGGTGTTTCAATAGCGTCATAAAAATGCAGCAAGCTATAGTTGACCTTATCAAAACCTAAAGGTGATTCCACATACAAAAGCAAACTATATAGCGAAAATCTGGCTAAGGGTAAGGTATGTTTATGCTTTAATAAATCTGGTAGACTCGTAAGCAACTTGGTAAAATAATCCTTATAATTCAACCATAAAGAACATTTTTTTGCGCACTTTAACGAAAGCAAAGTATTGACTAAAGTTATAATCAAATGCCAACCGTTTGACTGCTGTCTGAGTAAGGCTTCATTTTCGGTTAACTTAGCCAAATACTCCGTACACAAAACATAGAATTCATACTCAACACATGTACTAAGAGACTCTAGCAACTCCAACAAAATATCCACATTGTTTTCGAAATATTCCTTGTTATATGAAATCACGCTGTTCACTGTGCACAACAACGCTTCCCTGCTTTTGTTCGGTAAACTGTTGTAGCAAATATTCAATTTTTTTGTGGTGAACAAAAATTTATCGACCAATTTATCTTCTTGCCCATAAAATTCCTCTGACCATTTGGATATGAACAACAGGAATATGTCCAATAGGCAAGATATTATTTTGGTGCTGGTAAAATCAATTGCGAATGAATCTAAGGCAAAGTTAATCACGATTTTTTTCAGTGATTTATCCTCGAATATGAATTTAACTTTTTGGTCGACAAGAATCAGGAATTCAGTCCACGATTTTAATAAATCCATTATGTCGTCTATTTTGCTATTCTTTAGATTGCTTAATTCTCTTACAATATAGTTTACCCAATTTTGCAAGTTCTCAGGTTTGGTTAAAAATTTAACCACGACTTTTTCAAAATTATTTGTGGATTCGCCATCGCCTTCGCCGCTAATACGTTTTTTACCTGCGTGAGTAAAGTTTCTGTTACAAAGTTCGATGTTGAGTATATTGAAAATGCATGTATACACAGAAGGAGTATTATCGAATTTTTTATACAAAGGGTCCGCTAGAAGCCACCAAAATTGCTCCAACTCGGTCACATCTTTAATTAAATGATGCTTCCTATTCACCCACAAAGTACACATAACTTTTAAAATCCCCAGTTGTAGAGGGTTCTTCAAGAATTCTGATGTCTACAATATTGTGTTTAAAAAAATGTTTAATTCAAAAAAATAATTTTACCTTTCTTATATTTTGCAAGTAATCAATCATAAAATCAGTAACAGTATCATCGCCAGCCGAATCAACAACTTTTTCTTTGTTACTGTCCAGTAAATACCATTTTTTTGAACATTGTACGTTAAAAAACGCAGCTGTCATACCGTTCTGATGCGAAATGCACGTGTTAATAAGATCTATGATATCAAATTTAACATCCTCATCTTCCAATGGGTCCCTAAGCCTATCCAGGAATAATCTTTGGACTTGTTCGTAATCCAAACCTAGCAGAGCTAGCAAGGGACAGTCGTCATCCTAAAAAAAAGTTTAAAGGGTTGTAAAATAGTTTAAGATAGAGATGTAATGTAAGCAGTGGCGGCCCGTCAGGGGAGGCAGGTGAGGCAGTGCCTCATCATAGAGAAATAAAAAATTAAGTATAATTTAAATATTTTACTTCCTATAATATACTATAAATTTTTAATATTTGGATTACATGAATTGTGAAATAGTCAATAAAATTGATCGATTTTATACGTGGAATACCCAGCAACATTTAAATTATTTGAATTTGAAACGACCGCAATTTAAACTAATATTTATAGCTAGATGATTGGCTCAGAATCATGCCTGAACTAATTTAGACTCACGATTAGCGTTAGCCTTGTTGTCTCGTTCTATTACAATGCGATATCATAGTTGTCACCTTCTCTCGTATTAGCATACGCGAGGCAGGCACGCCTACATCCAAGGAAATAAGCAGGTGTTGTGGCAACACTGTTGCGGAATTTTAGATAAATTATACTTCACACGTTTTTCAAAATTCAATAATAAATGGTATTATTTTTCTTATAATAAATCGATTTAATCGAAATTATATTTCTATTCTAAAATAAACATATTTTAACACTATCGCCATCTTGTAGCCATCACAGTAACCAATAAAATAAATACAGATTCCTTCTTTAGGTTTGTTTTGGTTATAAAATTCTGAACTGTTTAAAGAACAAATCTGTAGTTATTTACGCAATATTTTGTTTATTCTTTTTCTATGAGTTTGCCTATTTTATGATTCTTTTGTATGTGGTTTATTCTGAGGGTTTAGTTAATTGAACTTGGTGATTTATGTGAATTTAGTCATTTTGGATATTACGGTGAGAAATTGTACCGATATTGTTGACCTTGACGTGGTTCTTGCTGAACAATGAAATATTAATTAGACAAAAATGAGGTTTATTTAAAATAAACGTCATTTTTACAATAAAATATATTTCATTGACAAAGTAGAGGATTTCTTACCCACCACAGTCTAAGAACTGCGACGTCAGTTTTTTTAAGTTGGGTTTAAAAAAATTTCTTCGCCTTTAAACGAGGGCGAAACCCTGCCTCTGCCTCACCAAAATGAATGTAAGACAAAATTTAAGATACTTACCCTGGCAATTATTTCCAAAAATTTGCAACACAACTTGGTCAGGTTACTGCAGTATGGATTGACAATATATCCTGATAATGATCTGGCCAGAATTCCCATGTACTCCCCAATAAGTTGTTTATTAGTTGGCAAACTAACGACGTTTTTCTGCTTCAGCAAGAGCAAAATAAATGTTAACTGGTTCCTTAAAGTGTCCAGCTTCAGAACGGCTTCGCCATTAATCCAATCCGTCTCTTGCTCCATGAGATTTTGCAAGTAGAATTTGTCCTTCATTAAAGTGGCCAAAAAGCTCTTTAGAATCCACTCTTCACAAAGAAAACCATATACAATTCGCTCGAACATTTTTTGTGTTGTTTCAGGCATTACATCAGGGTTTCCACTAAGAATTTCCACGAAAATGGTAATACATTTTTTCCCGATCTCGTACATTTGCGTTGAATCGTCGTAAGCGTACTTCATGTAATGTGGGAACCCGGAATTGAGCAAATAGTACAGCCCTGTTGTCATTGGCTCATCCTCGCACTTTTTGACCATAGTTAAAATAAAGTTAACATAGCTCAGCAAAAATGTATGATTATTGCTGCTCTCCTCTTCCTTTAAACAGGCTTGCAAGGCGTTTAAAGCAGGTATTTTAACTCTGTAAAACTCCTTGGCGCTCAAAATCTCTATATTTGGATTGCTGAATATGGTTTTTTTAATACTCCTGTTAAAAGCATCGGAATAATTGATTTTTCCTTCGTTTATCAATGTAAAATAGGCGGAAAAGTACATTTTAATAAGCTCAAAACTTCTATGGTAACCATCAAAAAAATACACCGGAATCGAATCAAGCTGTTGAATACAATTTTTCAAGGTATGATCGTTTCTGAAATCCCCTTTATAAATTTTTATTATTTCAACTACCATATTGTATCCAAAACATAATCTTTTTATCAACTCCTCGTATAATATTTTCGAGGACACCAAAATATTCATGTACTGCTCCAACAATGTGAAAAAGCTGAACTGATTTTTATACTGCACAAAATTTCTACCCTTAAATTCATATTTCTCAACACTTGTACCTCTAGGCATAATAAACGAATTATTTCCCTCAAAAATTTGTTCTCTATCGCTCAAAACAGAGTCGACCCTTTGACACCAATCAAAATCCGATAAATAAGTCGGCAGATTACTCAACAAATTAACAACCTAAAACAGTATGTTACTTACTACACTGCTCATGCGCAGTACAACAATACTTACATCGTTATAATACTTTTCCGTTGTTATTAAACTCTTGCATATTGTTATTAGGGAATAATAATCGCAGGGGAATGTTTCAATAGCTAATTTGATTGTGGAAGAAAATAACTGCGTGGTATCCAAATCCTCGTTTTTTAATAATAGAGAAACTAAAGGTACCACCCCTGGTTGTTCGTAGAAAAATTTTTGATCAGCACACATTTTACAGAACTCCAATATCAGTTTGTTTACTGACACAAGCACAAAATATCCTGGTTTGCTGTCCTAAAATATAAACAAATAATAATAATAATAAGACAGAAATATATATATGAAGTTTGTACCTTAAATATTGAGGCAGAAGCCAATGTATATAGGGATTTAAATATGTTCCTGGTAATAAGTTTACAAACAACATTATTACAAGAATCTACATCTTGAGTTGTGCCACTTAGAGAAGCTTTCAATACAGCCCAAAGAAATAATACAATAGCATTCTCATCTTGCATATCTAATATCTGAATATCTTTTTCCAATTCAGGCGAAATTAACTTAAAAACACTGGGATTTTTCCAGTATTCATTTGCTACTGAAAGCAATAACCCAATTTCTGAATATTTGATCTTCAAAACACTGTCAGGTTTAGAAATCGATAGAGATTCAATAAAAATGGGATGTCGTGCAAAACTATGACTCAAAAATATTTTTAGTAACTCTGAAAATTCATTTCCAGTAACTTTAATATAACTCAATATATTTGTGAGAATTAAAAGCAGCTCTATTTGTTCCTGATCGTTTCTATGCAGCCATTTTTCGGCGAATGAATTTTTGCTTAGTTTTTCTTTCTCCAAGCAGCATATGGAATCGTTAAACATTTTGACCAAATTTTTCCACAATGCAGGCATGTCGATGGTTTTGATGAATGTATTAAATTGTATGTAAAATTTATGTTTTGTGTTCATGCTATGTTCAAGAACTAATCTAAGAATTTTTAATAAAAACATCCTTTCAGAGCTGTAAAAGTGCCAGATATTCTCTATAAGTAGGCGAGAATCAGTTTCAAACATAATAATGGATTTTAACTCGTCGATTTTCCCATAATATTCAAACATAAGAAAGTTACAAATTATTTCCCATGCAGCATCACTTTCCAAGTCCTAAAATAACCACTAGAAACAATCATAACATAATTATTGTTTACATACCAATTCCATACTTAGCTGGTGTATGAATTTGTTCATTTCCTCATCATCAAAGTGGGGCTTGTTGCCTTTCTTCCACTCATCGTAAGCCTTTTTCGTGTATGGCTTGTACTCAAGTAATCCCAACACAAGTTTGTCCTTGCACATTTTTAAAATGTCTTCGATGATATCCTTCGTAATATTGGCATTGAAGCCTGATACCACTTGGTATATTTTTTTCCATACTCTTAAATTAACAAATTAAACACGTTTAACCATATTATAGGAAATACTTACGGTAAAGTTTCCATAATAACAAAAACAACAGGTTAATTTTAAGTACGTCTGAAACAAGCACTACACACTTATTTGTAAAACAATAAACAGCATTTTAATATAAAAATAGAACACTTGTAGAATATAAAGCAGGGGCTTTTATTTAAGGTTTAAATAAGACAAAATAACCGGTGCAAAAAAACATTAAAATTGTAGGTTATGTTAACGCGCGTAGAGTATGCAACTCAGATTACACGGCAATATTATGGTTGCCTGTATAAGTTTTAGCCTTTTTCTAGGTGTGCGAATATTATAGTTTAATTTAAATATCAGAAAATTAAAATTTTCAAAGTTTAATTTATTAGATAGTATGAGCGATTATTATTGGAATGTTTAATTTTCCATTATTCAAACAATGAACTGGAATTGTTCAAACCATTCCAAAGTTCAAATTTTTAATTAAATATTACGATTTGATTCGCACACCCCTACTTTTTTCCACTCTTCTATGATTACAGATTATATAAGAACTGATAAATTGGCGTAAATGAAAGTTTCAAGTGTTTATAATATTTTATTAACAAAAAACAATAATATAAATATGTATAACTTACAGTTAAACTCATAAATAATAAAACATTAAAATATAAAAAAATATTCATCTAATCTGACTCACAGCCCAATAAAAGGCTTTTTTATAAAATCTTTATTTAGCATAGTACCTTTTTTTTCTTACTTTTGATGTTCTTAGTAAATAAGGGGCGTATCGTTGCGCTACTGGTTTGTACAGCCATTCGAACAGCATATACTATGTTTTTCTCATGAAACCTGCAGTGGGTGGAGGCCCTAGTTTAATACTACCTTGAATAGGTTGTGTGGGGTCCATGCCTGATTGTGTTTGAGCTTGTGCTTTGGGGCTTGATCTTGGTGATGGAGGAGGTCTTTCTATTGTCATTGTTTGTTGGGGTATTTGGCTATCAGTGGTAACCCCCATGGATGTGTATATTTCCTTCAGCATGAGAAGGATGGTGTCTTCTGACTCCCAATAACCCACATGGGAGGTTAATGCGAAGATATACTCGTTTATAAACTCAAAGGGGGCTTCTTGGAGAACATAATCAATTCTTCTGCCATTATTTAACTGACCTAGAGGTAATTTTGTTATTTCTTGTGGTAACTCTTCTTCCTGTTCTTCGTTTACTTGTAATTGTTCCTCGAAAGCCTTATTTACTTCTTCCTCCAAAGAAGCTGGTTGATCTGCCCTGTGGAACATAGCTAGTTGGTACACAGAGTTCCAAGTACTTTTCATTGATTCAATAACTTTTTGTTTTAAATCCGCCCCAACTTTTGCCATGGTTTCCTTCAATTCCAAATGCATTCTTTTGCGGCCTTTGTGATGTGGTATTAATACAGGTTTCAATGTGGACAAGTCAGGATTCACTAAAGACTCCACTCTGTAAGCCACTGGATCATAAGGATGGAAAATATTGAAAAAAGCTGGGCATGTGGGTAAAGAGAACTGCACCCCCAAAGTATCCAAACCTCTTATCGTAACGAACATTCCGATGGGTGAGCCCAAGGCGAAAAAGGCTTTTGGATGGAAGTCCAATTGAGGGTAATGTATTTGTGGTTGACCTGTACCAATAGCCCCCATCATATAACTAATTCGTCGGCTCATTTTCCTCTGAGCTGGCGATGGTTTCAAAGGTGGAACCACATCTTCATCTCCAGGGATTTCCTCTGGATTCTCCACCTCCGGTTCCAGCGATTTTTGATGCCCCAGCAAATCGAAGAGGATCAAGGAACCCAAACTATGTCCGCCCAATGAGATGCCGCCCTTGAACGACGGATTTCTTTGCTTGAATAGGTTGTAGACTCTATTCAACTCGTTACCGACGGTGGATATAATTGTTTGGCAATAAATAGGGCTTGTATAAAATAGAATATCAAGGAGCGTGTCGTTTGTGAAGTCACGCAGCCTTGGTATGCTATCCAGGGTTATGTTTTTCAATTGTTTATCGATGCCGGTCTCTTCAGAGTGAAGTCGATCATGCCAGCTGATTGGAAGAACTTCCACTTTGTTTGAAATGCCTCTTTCACATGATGATTTGTAGTGAGATTGCACCAATTGCAAGGCAATGCTTCGGAATTCGTCAACTAAAAACATTTAATTGATTAACTATATATAATTAAGGTGACCAACCGTCCTGGTTTACCCAGGACAGGTTCTGGTTTTTGCTAATGTGTCCTGGTTTTAATTGTGTACTGGTTTTGCAGATTTTATCCTGGTTTATACTAATTTTTTTAATATTGACGTTATTACCAATTTTTTAAAGTGGTCGGGGCTCAGGTGAAAATTTAATTTAAAAATCTAAAACTAGTACATTTAGAAGAGTAGAAAAGTAAGAAAAAAACCTCGTTTGAAAAAAAACATTATTTTTTTAAATAGTGGTCAGGGCTCAGGTTAAAAATTAAGTATACCTTCAGTATAGTAAAAAAGTAAGAAAAAAACTAGTTTGATTTTTTTTTAAATTATGAGTTTTTCCCACTTTTTTGGGATTTGTTCCAATTGTTTAATTAAAAGTGGTTGGGGCTCAGGTAAAAAATGAATTTAAAAATCTGAATTTTTGGGAGTACCTTCAGGATAATTGTCAAAAGTACTTAAGAACACATTTTAAAATTTCAAAAAACCCATATAAAAATAATAAAAGCACATTTTAGACTGTCAAAAATATTTATTTATGTATCAAGGCAGTAAAGTGAGCACGTGAGTGATAAAAATGCTGAGGTGCATATTAAATTTTATCCGAAATCACATTTAATAATATTAATAATTAATATTGATGATCAAATCAAATGTCATTTGAATGTAGGAAGTGTCAAGTATAATGTTTGTTGCGACGGTTATGATATATTTGCCCGCCGCGGCGATTTTTTAATCTAATTAATAAAATTAACTTATTATTTCTATTAAACAACATTTTATGAAAGGGTCCAATCGACCTCCGCGACGTTGCTTTTTTTTAAATATTATTTAGTTGCTGCTGAGTAGCAGTAGACACATCTTAAAATGTATAATGGGTTGCATACAATACTCTTAATAAATCGGCATTTCTTTTACTTTACTGGATAAAATATTTTAAAATGTCCAAAATACATTCTAGAATGTCAAACGTACTAAAAAACACATTTGAAAATATTTCAACTATAAATTTTTAAAAACACATTTTATAATTATAAAAACAAATTCTAGAATGTCCAAAACACATTTGAGAATGTCAAACGTACTTAGGAACACATTTGGAAATGTTCCAACTATTAATTTCTAAAAACACATTTTAAAAAGAATTCTAGAATGTCCCAAATACATCTTGTATGCCAATGTCCAAAATACATTCTAGAATGTCAAACTTACATAAGAACACATTTAAAAATGTTCGAACTATTAATTTCTAAAAACGCATTTTAGAATGTCCATAATACATTCTAGTATGTCAAAGTCCAAAATATCCACATCTTTTTTTAAGTAATAAACAGCTGTTTAACCTAGGTTAACTGGTTTTTAATTTAAGAAAGTTGGTCACCTTATATATATGTTTTAGGAAAAGTAGACTTACCGACTTCCTCTACAGTTCTGAATTTAAGATCGCAAACCGACCCAATGCCGTGCACCATAAACAAAACATGATCGACTGTAGCGGGTTCTCCCTCATCGATATCAAACTCGTCCATGCCTCTTTTGACAAGTCTTGCTCTTGACTGCGTCTGCGTATTGCCCCAGGCGTCAGGCGCTTGCGTTGGCGGGAACAAAACCAAAACGTCCGGTGCGTGGAATACAACGGTCTCCCCATCGGACAACTCGACTTTGCGATGCCACTGATTTTGCTCGAATGCTATTTTAAACTCTTCCTCCAATTTTGTGGCGACGTTTTCGTCATACGGTATAAAACGGCCGTCCGTTTGGCCTTTGTGGAACCAAGAGCAACGTTGGACTACACTGGGCTCGCCTTTCCAATACACGGGCTTTCTCTGTCTTCTTAGAATGTTAACGTCGAATCTTCCGCCGTCTGTGGCAATGAATTTTTCTGGATCCAAGTCGTCTAAAATTATGGAAATGTGAGAGCAATGGCAAACACGGCAAACTAAAACTTACTTGAAGTAAATGCGCTTTCCAATGCAAGTGAATCGACCATGGAAAAAGGCTTCCAAATGATCTTCCCTTCAATCTCTTTTTTGTAGAACCAATGCTGATAGACTGGCCGGTAAATTTGGCCGGCAGGTGGCGCGTAATTCTCAGCACCCTGAGCATAAATCGGCGCCTGATTCGATTGCATCTCGCTGGCAGGGATGGCCGACATTACGGGGCTCGAAAAATTGTCGAAGCTGTTCGTGTAGGGAAATTTTTGCGTTGTTGGTTGCGAGATCGGCGATGGAATGCTTGGCGTTGGTGCGATTGGTTTGAATTGGTATGGCACTGAGGTGTCTTGATACGAGCTCGAAGACCCAGCTGGCGATATTGATGGAGGAGGTTGAGGTTGGAAGTAAGCGACAGGAGGTTGAGGGGGAGTGTAAACGTTTGTTTGCGGGGGTTGCGCAGGGCTTGTCAACTCCGGGGGTTTGGCGTATGTTGGTCTCTTTAAGCCTGTGGCCCTTCTGAAGTTATTTACAGAACCTAAGATAGAGAATAGTTCGGTTCATATATTTGTTTTGGTAATAATCGCTTTTAAAAATTGTTGGCCGTTTTATTGTTATAATAAATAAACAAAAAGATTTACATTTTTATACAATTCAAGTGAATAGAGGCAGTTTGGCAACAATGCGTGCAGCATAGAACAAACCAGCTTGACTTGTTTTTAGTGAGCGGGGATTTTAAATCAAACATAAATGAAAATAATATAAACGTTAATTAAATTCTCTGTTATCATTATTAACATATATTAATATATTATTAAACACATAATTATTAATACAAATATTCACTTAAATAATTTTGAATAAAATTTTTTATAATGTAACGTTTATAAGGATAAATGATTTTATCATGAAAATAAAATAAAATTTTAACGTTAAGTATTAAAAAAAATTTAATATTAATATATTAAAGTTAGTATTAATAAGTTTTGTATTTTTGAAAACGTTATTTATATTTTAAAATAATTTTATAAATGAAGTACCTTAAAAAATATTTGCCAATATACAAGGTGGCCTGAAAAAGCCTTTTAATAAAAAAGCTTAAATTAATTACATTCTTAAATAATTTATACACTCACAGGCAACATAATCGATCCACACAAATTTTCGATGAATTTCAATCGCAAATAACTTTTTTATTTGTTTTCGGATTTAAACAAATATTAAAGAATTTTGTAGATACATTAATGGAGAATCGCTCACATTTTAAAAATTACTAAAAAATACACGTACGTTTATAATATACAGGTTTAAACAAAAAGATGTTTTTTACCATAAGTTTAAGACACTCTGTAGAGTGGCAAAACCGTAAGTTTTAGTTATCAAGTCACATCTATTTTTAACAGTTTTGTTTTTGGTTCACCTTGATATATTTATTTTTGTGGAAAATATGGATTTTTTAAAGAAACGTTGCAATTTCCAATATTTTTACTGTAAGAAGAACTAAGGTTGCTATGGTCCATCCATAGCCTATGGAGGATGACAGTGACAGTTTTGTTGAATCATCCCATACTTGGACATGTCATATACATCTTTCAAAAGCTATCAAATTGTTTTTTTTAAATTAATGTGTTAATTTTGAGGTGTCTTCTTACTTTTAAAAATGTCTCCGACTGATGTTGCCCTTTGTACTTTACTTCTTGTGACGTTTAAAACACTTGCCACGTAATACTGTGACCGTCCATCCTGAATGAAATAAATGGCTCTGGCAACATCAGTCGGAGACATATCCATTCTTAGAAGTAAGAAGTCACCTCAAAATTAAAACATTAATTTGCAAAAAACAATTTGATAGCTTTTGAAAGCCGTGTATGACATGTCAAAGTATGGAATGATTCAACAAAACTGTCACTGTCATTCTCCATAGCCTATGGATGGACCATAGCAACCTTATATAGTTCTTCATACAGAAAAATATTGGAAATTGCAATGTTTTTTAAAAAAATCCATATTTTCCACAAAAATAAATATATCGAGGTGAACCAAAAACAAAACTGTTGAGAATAGATGTGACTTGATAAATAAAACTTAATTTAGAACAATATACGGTTTTGCCACTATACAGATGGTAAAAAACATCTTTTTGTTTAAACCTGTATATTATAAACGTACGTCTATTTTTAAGTAATTTTTTAAAATGTGAGCGATTGTCCATTAATTTATCTACAATATTCTTTAATATTCGTTTAAATCCGACATCAAATAAAAAAGTTATTTGCCATTGAAATTCATCGAAAATTTGTGTGGATCGATTATTTTGCCTGTGAGTGTTTTTTAAAATAATTTTATAAATGAAGTACCTTAAAAAATATTTGCCAATATACAAGATGGCCTGAAAAAACCTTTTAATAAAAAAGCTTAAATTAGTTACATTCTTAAATAATTTATATTTTTTGAATTTTGTAGTACTTTATAGTTAATAAATCTTACCTTGATTGGTTGTAGGCTGTACAGGTGTTATAATACTTGTTGTGTTGGCTGGAAAAAGTGGTACAGGAGGAGCATTCGCAACTTCCTGACTTATCAAACTCTCGATTCCTGCTGGGGGTGGTACAATAACATCCTCTTCAGGAATTTGGTTCGCGTTTCCTGCAATTTTCGAAAAAGCCCCCGCAATGTTCGAGAACACGGAAAAATTTGATTGTTGCTGCTGAGGTGGCTGTTGATTTAAATCGATTTCCTGAACTGGTGGTTGAAATGTGTAATTATTGAAATTTTCCTGAGGTTCAGGTATTTGATTAGCAAAATTTTCGAAGGTCGGTTCGAAATAGGATGACGTAGGATTGAGTATTTGATCTAAAAAAACAATATAATAATAGTTAACGTAATTTCCAGCAAATTAAGAAATGTGTGTCAATATGTAAAGATAAATATTTAGAATAACGATAATTTTTTACCGCACCTAAGAAATTATCGAATAAAGGAACACCCAATTATAGTTCTTCAAACACAATTAATAACGAAAGAATTCAAAGGTATTTAATATATATAAAAATATATGTATATATATAGACTGAATTGAAGATTTATAGGAAGTTTTTGATAACATTTGAACTTAACATAATAAATCAAAAGGTTGCGCCCTATCATCATAAAAACAAATATTCGATGACCTAATTTTTCATGGTTCCCAAAGCAACGTGAATTAATTAGTCATTATTTAAAAAATAACAATAAAAAGATTTTATGAAATTATTGAAATTCAACGAATTTATAGGCATATTCCTATGAAACATAGATAAGCAATACTTTAGATCCCTACCTAAAATACCATTTGTCATGAAACAACTATAAAAGAGCAACCCAATGCAATTATCTATTCCAGTCAATTTTACGTAATTGATAAAAAATGTTGGTGGTGCATCTGATATTGTGGGCAACAATCGCCTTTGTGCGAAGTGAAAAATTAATGAACAGTTTTGACGAGTTGAGTGATTTCTTTGATTCGAATGATTTTCTGGATATTCAGCAGGGGATTAGAGTTAGCAGAGCTGAAGATCTCGATGATATTATAGACGAAAAGCCTTTTTTCAAACTCCATCATTATTACAACAGTACATATAGAACAGGTAGAATTATGAACGATATAAGAAGCAAAGAATACAGCAGTTCGAGGTATAAGGCCTGTTGGGAGTTTCTAACAGCATACAACTCCAAAAACCCTGTGATTGCTTTGGTGGACTTCACAAAAGAGTCCAGGATCGGTGCAGCGAATTTCATAAAGGCTTTGGAGCAAATGCACCCGAATGTAAAAGATATAAATTTTCAATTAATGTTCTTCAATACGTCCGGTAAGTTTGCTGATTAATAGTAGATAGTGTTTGACCTAAATTAGCAACTTCCTAGGTGTATCAGTGATTCTGGAAACCACCGACAACAACCGCACTAGGTTTTACGAGTTATTGGAATCGAATAAATTGACGCCGGTTTCCGAGATAAAGCGATTTCATGACAAAGGGTCAGCAGCCTTTTTCGCGTTTTTGAATGCCGCTAAATTATTGTCTAGCCAAAATGCCTTGTTAATGTTTACAGATAGGATAATTATTGATGAGGATTTGTCCTATTATGCGGGTAAATTTTTGTCAGAAAAAAATTTAAAGGCTTATGTTGTGTGGGGTGGTCCTTACCCCACACAATTTGGGGAATACGCGTTGCTTAAAGAGCTATGTGAGCACACCAACGGGAAATTTATCGTTAATCAGGACAGTACTTTATCTTCTTATTATAAAAGGGTTTATCATGAAAATGCAGTTTATAACGATGGAGTTGTAAGTCTATAACGTAAATTGATCAATTCTACAATCTATTTTTTATCATTTTAGTCCCTTTTAAGCAAGCGTTTTGATTTAGTGGGATTATCCAACATTTCTATCCCGGTTGATACTGAAGTCACTGCTGTTCATATAGTGATAACTCCAGGAATAACATTGGGAACTTTAACAGGGCCAAAACGAAAAACTTCTAATCTAATGGATTCGGGTGATGTCGTGCGTATGGGCGCAGGGTCTTTTCTTGACTTAAACGACGACTATTACGAAATTCACATAAACTGTAGAAATTTAGCAGCAGCTGATTTTGGCGTTTGGAATTTGACTTTGACGAATGGAGACAGTCCATTTAATGTTAGTGTTTATGTGTTCACCAAACTGGAGGCCAGCACCTTTGTTTACCAAAAAGCCAACCAAACAGGTATTTATCGTGATTCAACGAAAAACAATTATTTGCTGCACTGTATCGTTTAAAATGTTATCAGTGTGTCAATTATCGATTGTTTATAAGATTCCCTCGCCGAATATTTCGGAAATTAGTAAACCATTTCAACATAGACTGGATTAAAAATAAAATGGCACGATTCCAATGTATATTTATAAGTATTGATAAAAAACACACTTACCAAAATGCAATTTACAGAACTTTACTTAAAACCGAGCGCAGTCTCTAATAGTTTGCCGAGTACGTACTGATGTTGTTTTTATTGATATTAGAAAATCGTAGTTTATTTGGACTTCGTTCAAGTTTAGCGTGTTTTGAACACGTCATGAAATGTTCCTTGCGTAAAAGAAGGAAACTATAAAAATATGACCTCTATCTGTTTACAAATAAATGCATAATCGCTAAACTTATTTCTGTGGGCACATGTGTCTAAATTCATTTAATAATGACCTTGAATGGATATTAATTATGATGCAACTTTTTAGATCCGGATAATAGTTCATCTAATATAGTCCAGTTGGACCTTATAGGTAAAGCTAGGGTCGTACAAGATATTCAATTCGTCCATAAAAATGGCACTTTGATAACTGACAATAAAGAGGAACCGCATATGGCAATATGGCGGAAAGAAAATTCCAGTTCTAACACGTCCGCAGATCCCCTTGCAATTAAATACCCTGTTAAGGCACTTCCAGATGACCCTTTTTACGCTGTGGTAAATGGAATGGATTGGAAAGGTAGACACTTTTCTTTTGCTACTGGCTCATTTTATGCCAAATCATACAATTGTTTTTAGGGTACAAATTTTCCAGGCTTTCCTATATCAACCCCAAGGAATACAAGAACATATTTCCGAAACCCCCCCTAGCAATTGAAGTAGGAGAAAACTCGGACATAGTCATTTCAAATACCCTTTCCAGCAGGCCACAACTATTTTTTGAAGTCACCAATCAAGGTTCCAGAGTGGCGAACCTACAATTCTCAGTTAGCGATGAAAAATATATGTTACTATCACTATATCCCCGAAGAATCATACTGGGCCCGCAGGAAACTAGAAGTGTTACCGTAACACTATCACCCCGTCAAGGTTCTTTTTCGAATACTGTTACATTTACCGCGTATGGTGGAGAAATAGTCGAGAAAAGGGTCGAAATTGAAGTTGGAAGAAGATTGGACTATGACGTGAAAGAACCTGAATTGAACTGGAAATATACCAGCGATTGCACCGATAAATTAGTAAAAAAATGCGAGGATGGCACTTGGACGGTAGAAATTAGAGTTAAAGACGTTGGCGTGGGGTTGTTACAAGTTACATCGAATCCTAAGGGGGTCTATTTTCCAGATGGGTACACCACCGGAACTAGAGATGAAATTACAGGATATTACAGCGACTCATGTTGTAACTCAGATCTAAAAATTATTGCTATGGATAGAGCCAAGAACATTGCTATAAGAGAGGTCAATCCATACCGTAAGTTTATTTTTCTACTCCCACCTTTTAAACGCCCTTTATCGTACATGTTTCCATGACACTAAGTGACCTTTTAAATACACATTGACAAGTTGTGGCTTTAAGCGCTTTAGTCACGGGTTGAAGTTAGCAAATTTCATACAATCGTTAAAATAAATTGCCTTTCTTATAAAATAATACTAAATGTGAAAATTATTATTTCAATACAAAAATACAAAAGTATTAAATGGTTTCTCAACGGCAATATTTGAAAAGTTTATATGAACATTGACCTTTTAATTTTGCCGGCAGTAAACTATAACTTAAATTCGGGCACGGATTCCACTGTAAAGTGCTTATAAAACATTTTCTTTACTTTCACTGTGAAAAACTGTCAATTCTCAAGAAATACATTTCGATTTATAACTTATATAACTTATATAATCTGTGTTTATAAAATAAAAAAATTAGACATTTGACGGTTTACAGATTCCCCTGTTGTTTCATAGATGGCGCTCTATACAAATTTTTGATTTAAATCATTTTAAGATAATAATAAGTATCTGTCGTAGAAAACGTATAGTATGCACCTCGTTTATAAACTTTTCTATACACTCATTAATTTAAGCCCTTGCTCACAAGCTCTCGTGCCTAAATTAAAATCGTGTAGGTATAAAATGGCGTTTATCAAACTTGATACATAATATACTATTATCTACTCCTACATTGAAGAGCTGTGACTTTATGGTCTTTAAGTCACGGGCTGAAGTTAACAACAGTGGCTTTTGGGCATTTTAGTCACGGGCTGAAGTTGGCGTTATTATAAATTGCAAAAAAGTGAGGTTAAATTTGTCAAATGTCAAATATTTATAAATTAAAATTGGCTTTAAATTCTCATTTCTGTTCTTCGTAGATAAAGTGTAGTATGCAACTCGTTTTATAAACATCTCTAGGCATTCGTTTTTATTAAACACTCGCTCGCAAGCTTCGCTCGTGACTAATAAAACTCGTGCATAAAATGGCGTTTATAAAACTTGATATAATATACTATATATATATTATCTACTCCTACATTGACGAGCTGTGACTTTATGACGTTTTAATTACGGGCTGAATTTAGCTTTATTATAAATTGCGAAATAGTGAGGTTAAATTTGTCAAATGTCAAATATTCATAAATTAAAATGTTGTTTAAAATTTTATTTTTGTTTGTCGTAGATAAAGTATTGTAGGTATGCAACTAGTTCTGTGACTTTATGGCGTTTTAGTTACGGGCTGAAGTTAGCAACAGTGGCTTTTGGGCTTTTTAATCACGGTCTAAAGATAGCTTTATTATAAATTGTAGGGGTAGATATAAAATAATAAACTCTTCTAGACTAAAATGACATTTATAAAACTTGATGCATAATATACTATTTTATCAGTGTGAAAACAGAAAACTTTTTATTTTTTAGGTACCTTATGGAGCCCAGGTGCTATAGCAGCCTTAACTATGGGTTCTCTAATATTCTTGGCGTTCATTGTAATAATAGTTATGGCAATATGTAAATGTTGCAAGGAGAATGCCACTTTTGACTTGCCTACTTACAGAGGAAGGACTTACCCTTATTAAATTAAAAATTTAATTAAATTAGGTCTGATTTTTATATTTTTATACTTTTATATGCTCTTAAACATAGTAGATATTATTATATGTAGAGTTTCCTGGTTATTATATAAAAATTTCAAAGGATCAAATGTTGTATTATTTGCCCTTGAATTATTAAACAAACTATGATAACCCAAATTATGTCACTGATTTTTTAAATAAAGTAGGGGGCGCTTAAACCCAGCAAAAATATTATTTATTTATATAAAATTAATAAAACTTACCTGTTGTTACATTTAAAACGGGCGGGGGCGGTTTTTCTTTAGCTGGCAACAGCAAGGCATGTTGTGAAAACTCTTCAAACGTCCCCCCTGTGACAGCAGCATTAAATAAAGGGTTGTTAACCTTTTTACCAGGATCAGTCATTATTATAATATTAAATAATAAATATAGTACATACTATAACAGCTGTTAACACAGATCTTGTGGGATACTTGTTAATTATGTACACAAATTTCCCTTTTTGACGTTTGACGTGTACGAACACCCTAGCGACATCTATGTATTAGATAGTGTAACCAAAACTAAATAATTACAGAAATCTTCCTTACAAAGTAAGGTAGTTACGTTGTTGCCCATAGGTGACGCAAACAAATAAAAATTCAAAATTTATTTATTTAATCAGCAAGTATAATTTAACCAGGTGGACTCTCGTAAATTAAACTCGTACGCGCAAAAATATGAGGCGATTTTCGTGTTTCCAGGAAAAGCCACGATTCTTAGGTCACCCGCCCTATTTATTTGAAGCGAATTATACAAAGGCAAAGTGGTTGTAATAGGTTTTCCCCATTTGTCTTTGGTCGTAATGGAAATGCGATTTGTTTGCGGCTGTCCTGTAATGGGGTTTATACGGGAACATCGTGTCACAGCCAAAATACAGGACGTTATATTTTTGTACAGCGTTACTTGGTCTTCTTCTAATTCCGCTGTATTGTCCTCAGAAGCAGACGCGTAACAATTTGCGATCTAAAAATACATTTATATCATAACATTTGGAAAAATTAATTTTATTTTTGTACTAATAGGTCGGAGTTCACTCGTCTAATGCATCTGACAAAATCACAATATCCCGCTACGCAATCACCATTATTAAACTGTGTTGCGCTCTAAAAATATACATACTTATACATAACTCCCCATTTGTTTTTAATTTTAATTAACTTACCGTAATTTCCAATACACATCTATCGTATCGGGTATCGGTTAGGTAGAGTTCTGCGCAATCAGCTATTTCGGTGATGCGCGGTTGATTATTATTCGCTCTCGACGCAGTTGTAAAACAATTGATACAATTGTCTCTTAACTCATTTGTTTCTTCGGCTAATGCAATATTTTGGCACATAATTCGAAATAAATTTATTACTTGTGTTCTGAAATAATGTTTGGTAAATAAAATATTTTTTGAGATTAAATTGCTTACGTGTATTGTTCGCAATTTTGTTTTTGTTGTTGATGTTTCAAGAATAGTCCACACTGAAATACAATGCAATTTAATAAATGCAACGATTATCGTATTAGCGTATTATTTTTTACAAAGCTAATAAACATATCACTTCGAGATAAAATATTATTATAAAATTCCAAATAGCTGAATAAATTCTAAATTTACCTATTGGAAATTATATATGTAATTTGAATTAAAACAAAAATATATAATTATAAACAACGTGTATACATACATACATATACATATGTTTGTACGTAAACAAACTCTTAGTGACGTAAGATTGGTTAAATTTAATTAATTAAATAAATCTATTTACAGATAAATTTGCCAAGGATGGCTTACTCACCCCTAAAAATAAAAAAATTAATATAACTTCGTATTTTTGGAACATTTTTTATTGCTGTGTCAAATAAAACTGCATATGTAGGTACATTGTTAATTTATTTAAGTATTGTTAATTTATTTCTCAATATCCGCTAAAAATATTGTTATAAATTACTGATTTCAATCGCATCGGTATAAATTAATTCATAATTATAACAAAATCCTGTTAAGACGATAGCATCCTGTACATTGCATAATTAAATATATTTTGTAATTTTTATATTATTGAGTAAAAAAATTAACTAAGGTTACCCAAAATTACATAACCGAATTTTAAAATTCAATATTAGTCATTTCATAGTCAATATCATAGGAAAGGTGAAGGTTAAAAAATTGTAGGACAATTTAAATAAGTACCTAGCTATACACTTATAGGCAAAACACCTAATATTTAACCCTTAGTTTAAAATGGTACAAAGGTCAAATAATACCATAAATGCGCTTTAAATAAACAAATCATTTAGTTTTAAACAGAAGACAACTATTTCTGGCAATCAGTCCCAATTTTTTAAGGAGTTGTTTTTTCCTAGGTGATCTTTATTTAAATATTCACAGTATAAACCTATGACGATATACACTGAAATATTGCGCAACGTTGTCTATGGTCAGGGTCACACGCGCGCAGCTCTCGATTCGTCACATATAAACATACAACAACAATGTTGCCAAACGTTTATCCCAACCAACAGCAAACAAAATATCAACACAATTATCTTATCTATTTTTTACAAGTTAAAACTATTTCGACAACTTTTTACATTTCATTGAATTTTTTTCCCATTTTACCCTCCTCTATTTATTAATGTAAGTGATATAGAAATATTTGTATATATTATAATTTATTTTATAACATTTAAATTACTTAAATGCATTAACATCCCTTAAATTTCAATAGTGCCCTAGTGGTTTCCCAGACATTAGGTAAAAAATAAAGTCCGGCAACTGCGCCTAATCCTAGTCCAGTTAGAATTCACATTGCTTACGTAATAATTCTCTACATTTCGGTTATTCTAGGAATTGGAATATTTTCGCCGTTTTTAAACTAGTTGGAAATTTTCGAAAAACAATTCCTTGTTTTCCAATACATTTTTATATTTAATTCTTTAATAACCAAGGTTGTTTGTTGATAATAATGATTATTTACCATCTTGTTAGTATCGTACGTAAGAAAATATAGAATAATATTTTTCGTACGAATTTTCCTCGTTTATAAACAAAACAACAATTGTTTTGAAAAGGGCGCCTTCTTGTGGAGAATTAGACAAATGTAACAATTAAAACAAGTTTCTAACGTTTGACAGTTAATTGAAGAAGCATTTGAAAAGGGCGCCTTTCTTGTGGAGAATTGGACAAATTTAACAATTAAAAAAAGTTTCTAACGTTTGACAGTTGATTGAAGAAGCATTTTTGCCTATTTGGGGTGCCAATACTACCAATAGTAATAAATCCACGACTCTCTTTTGTTTAAAAATGGAGTTTGTAACGAAGTTATTGTTTACGTAGTTATATTTGTGAGTGTTTAATAAACACTGTTTATTGTGGAATTTAACAAGATTTAAAGTTCGGTAAGTACTTAATTTTGTTTTTTAATTTGATTAAGGTATATTTTTGTATTTTTAATGGCGTTTATTGCGGTATATTGCTCATAATCGAATGTTGTTATAGTTTGTGGTGGGGTTTCTATTTTTAAAATAAGCGTAACAACAAAATATGAATTTAAATCATACGTGTGATTGCACGATGTTCATAGCAGGGGCGTAGATACCACCGTATTAATGATATGGGGCCCCCGGTAAGCAAAAAAGTCATTTAAAACCAGACCAATATTTAAAATTTACCTGTACGTACCTAAACAAATAAATGTATATTAAATAATGTAATATAAATTGATAGCACAAAAGAGGTTATTTGTTTGTCCAAAATACACTTAAGTGTTAATTATTTGGGAGTAGTAACCTTAAATGTTTTGTCTGCTGTGCCCCCCGTATAAAAGCCCCCCAGATTTTTGATGCAGCGTCCCTTTGGGGCTAGCTACGCCACTGGTTCAAAGGTATAAAAAGTACGTTTAATTTAATAAGCTATTGTTTATGAGACATTCTCGAGTTTATATGTTATTTTTCACAAGTTTTACCGCACGTTCTGGACCTTTATTTTTAACGCGCACATACTGCCATGTGCGCATGCTCGCGTCACTTAAGTCTTTCTCTTAAGGTGTATGTATCTTGAGTCTTTCTCAAGGCATGAACTCACAAATGATTAAATTGTGATACTGTGGTTTATAAGGAAAGGAGTAAATAAAAAATATATTTTGAAAAACATTGCAAATATTTATTTAATACACAGTTAGGATACATAAACGGTAATATGAAAATATATAAATATTTTCTTCTATATGGATGAATATCATACTGGACGAAGTAAATATTACAGATTCTTATAAAAGATTTATTCAAAGGTAAGTCCAGCATAAGTCTTATAATATATAAATATACAATAATGAGATAAACATAACGTAATATTAGCCGTTAGACGGCGAGTAACAAAATACAATATTTTACATAAATAATTGCGTATCTTAGGATAAATAGTTTACAAAAAAATCACACATTTCCAGTTAAAAAATAAAAGGTACGTTAATTCCTTATGATAAAAATGATGACAAGGTAAATCGGTAGTGATGATATAGAAAGTACACAATATAATGCAGCCAAAAAAAAATTGATTGGCTCTAATAAGACGATAGATGGACTAATGTCCTAAGATTATAAAGTATACAGTATATAGTAGGTAAATTACACAATATTAAGTCATAGCTATTAAAGCGCCAATACAATAATATAATGTTATTGTTAAATAAGAACAAGGATAATAATCATAGGAATATAAATTGGCAAAATGAAAAGCGTGTCCATTAAGATTATTGTGCAAGTTGACGACTTCCTCCCGACGATACGTCAACCTTTAAAACTCAACTTAACTAACAAATAAATACCTAACACTAGAATAATAAATATGCCCCGTCGGAGCATGATATGTTCAAATCTCCAGAACGAGAATCATCACAACAACGGTGACCCACCATTTCTGATTGGATCACCTAAATCACACCAATATTCATTCTGTTTGTTTTTGCGGTAGCGCACTAATGATGATGAGGCACGCCCGCGTCTTTGTCTTTTCTCATGTACGACTTCAATTTTTCCACCTCCGTGGAAATTCGCACCAATTCCGAGTGAATGATGTGCCTTTTCTCGGGGTTGTCGCCTTCTTGTAACCCCTGCATCTGAGATTGTTTCTGGAGAGTTTGGAGGGTGGCGGCTGCTTGACTGGCGGTCCATTCGGCGCCCAAAGAAATGCCGGAGTCCCTTTCGTCGCTCGAACCTTCCGCGTCCCATGGAGGAGATGCGCGCGGACCTGGTTCTTGCTTGATGTTCTGCAGGGACAACAGCGCGCTGGCGGCGTCTTTGTCGCCCAGATGCGACTTGTGTCTCAGCTTCAATGGCAAGCTGTTGTTGGCTTCCGAGGTGGTTAGAGCTACCGGTGCACTTTCGTCGCCTGAGTTGCTGGACACTTCGAACGGCGACTGACCTCTGGAGCGCGATCGCGACAAATTGAGGGCGTTGTTTGAGTCGTAGTGCATGGTGGCGTGGTAAGGCTGGAACTGGTAACCATGGTAATCCTGCGGTTCTCTGTATGGCGACTCCATGTGGGATGGGGGTGGGTGAAGGATGCTGTGGCCGTGCGTCAAGGATTGCGGTGGTGGCGAGCCCATCACAGGCTGATGTATTACAGGGGTGGGGATTGGACTTGGTGAACTGAACATAAGGGGCGAAGGATGCGATATTTTGGGCCGCTTGGTTAGGCTGAGCACTTGTTCGTTCGATGGCATTTTAGCCAATACTTTTTCAACGCACACCACATTCTCGCCGCAGATTCCAAATTCCTCCTTGATCGCCTCCAACTGAGCCTTCAGTATGGCATTTTCCTTGGTTAACTCGACCACTCTTTGTTCCAAAACCATGTCGTTGTAGCGTCTTTTTTCGCGCGACCTTTTGGCAGCCTCGTTGTTTCTGCGACGCCTATCCCAATAGCTGTCGTCCTTTTTATTATCAGGAGTAAATTCTCTCTGTTTGCGCTGACCGAATAGGTCTTTATGATTCACGTTGTTCATCTTGTAGTTCTGTTGATTGTAGTCGGGGGTTGTGGGGTTTTCAAGCAATTCTCGTCCGTGACTTGACGGCATGTTTGAGTTTAATTGTGGAATTTCACCATTTACTGGGGAACCACTCTGGCCTCGTCCCACGAATTCGGCAACCATTATACGCTGCTTTAGAACATCTGAAACAAATTTATAATTATTAATAAAATCCTTGGCGTATAGGAAGTTTCGTTAATTTCGCTCTTATTTCATAAGGTAACGTTTTAAAATGTTGAAATGTTGAAAGAGAAGGACAGTGAAATAATATTTGCTACAATTTCGTCATATTTCTATTAAAATCTATTAAATTGTTAAGGAATGTTGGGGTAGAGAGACGCGGGCAGACCTTAAAATGTAGGCATTATTATTTTAAAAATAAGGACTGGTTTTAGCACAAGTATTGCCAAGGTCGCCCTGATTCACCTGCAAACTTGCACCGATGGATGCATATATAGGTATTGGCACTTGAATGCATCTTGTACCAAAAGATTTTTTTGAAAACTATATAGCCAGTATCCCAGCAAGCACAAACATCCTCAGGACGTCCTTGGACCAGCCTAAATGTCCCAGAATGGGATGATCCTATAAGGACTTCCTGAGGACGTCCATAGGTTGACCTTATCGGACATTAGATCTTCTTTAGGTCCCATTTTGGGATATCCTAGGAACGTCATTTAAGGATGTCGTTAGGACCTAATAATATCCTAATTAAAGCCTAAAATGGGCTGATCATAGGACCAATCCCAGAGACATCCTCAGAATGTCCCGTTAGGTTTTGGTGAACATTTGGTATGCACATTTTTCTATACGAATATTTTATCCATATAATTAATAATACCTAAATTTTTTTACATAACTTATTTTGCATAGGCACATCTTAAAAATGTCAATCAATATAATCATAATATTATATTATAGATTTTTTTAAGTTTATAAACGACTTGCATACTATATTCATTTGTTCGTAGATGCTATAATAACCTGCACTGGTGTGTACAGGGTGGTCCACGTAAGGTGACCCATATACTTATCTCAGAAACTACTGCAGTCACAAAAAATTTGTAAGAAACAAATATTCACGAAGTAAAAAATATTTTTAAAATATTATATTTTCATTTATACAGGGTGTTCGGTTTTCCTTGGGACGATACCAACTTTCTTATTTTCAATGGAACACCCTGTATTTTTTGCATTTTTGGATTCTACCCACTCTTTTCCCAAGGAAAACCGAACACCCTGTATAAATGAAAATATAATATTTTAAAAATATTTTTTACTTCGTGAATATTTGTTTATTACAAATTTTTTGTGACTCCAGTAGTTTCTGAGATAAGTATATGGGTCACCTTACGTGGATCACCTAAAAAAAATATTTGCATTTTACAAAATTAGTAGCTTTGCACGTATGGTAATTATTATAGTAATATATATTTATATATAAAAGCATTTTTATTTGTTGTTATTGAAATTTATTTATTTGAATACATAATGAAAATTTAACTAAGGTAATTGGAAAAAAGCTACTAATTGTGAAAAATGCGAATATTTTTTTTTCTGTTAGGTTTAGGTATAGGACATATATATATAAAATGAAAGGTAATTACTTATTCTATCCAATTATGCAAAAATATATAGGGTGTTCCATTGAAGAAAAACAAGATTTTAAACTTTTAAAATCGCTATTTTCAACGGGACATAGAAAACACCCTGTATGATATTTTCCAAAAAATATAATAATTAACTTATAGCTTACTTATTATTAAAGAGATGGATACTACATAATATAAAAAATAATAACTTTTAGTTGATTATTTTTTTACTTTTAGCGAGTGTCTACATTTAGAGAAATTTTAATAAATCTTAATTTTACTCAAAAAGTATTAACATTTTCTTAATTAATATATTTACAAAGTATACCTAAAAGAGTGTGTAGAATCCAAAAATGCAAAAAAATATAGGGTGTTCCATTGAAAATAAGAAAGTTGGTATCGTCCCAAGGAAAACCGAACACCCTGTATAAATGAAAATATAATATTTTAAAAATATTTTTTACTTCGTGAATATTTGTTCCTTACAAATTTTTTGTGACTCCAGTAGTTTCTGAGATAAGTATATGGGTCACCTTACGTGGACCACCCTGTACACACCAGTGCAGGTTATTGTAGCATCTACGAACAAATGAATTAATGGCCCATTGGCAATTATTCCTTTAGGAAAAATATTCAACACAGCTTAATTAATTAATAAAATGAAAAAAATCACAATCATGTCGTATATAGTTTTTTTTAAGCATAAAATAATTTTTATATTAATACTAGTTCAAAAGTGAAATTACGACCTCTATACTGTGGAGAGTATTGAAACGCTCGACTGACGAATACAACTCTATACCGTAGGGAGATTTAGAAATCGATATTCAAACGTGGCGTCATCCTATACACCTCTATAATTTTCCGTTTGCTGTGACTGTATATATAAATAATAATATAACTATTATATTTATTTAGAATTATTATTTATTTTACTTTTATAATAGGTGTTTATTTTTTATTTTATATAATTGGCTGTGTAAAATTATATATATGTATACAGAATTAAAATAATATATTTTATAAAGAAATAAAATGGTATTTGATTGTTTAAAATGTATCCCCAACAAATAACAAGGCCATTCAGAGGATGTCCATTCCTGGACCTACATATACCCATGGGACTTTCAGGGGACATCCTTAGGATGTCCTATTCCTGGACCTATATGGACCTAGGGATATCCCTAGGATATCCTAAAGGCTATTTGCGGGACGTCTGTAGGCTGGCCTTTTTTGCACCACTCGGCCATGGTTGGGATGTCCTGAGGAGGTCTAAGGACGTCCTAGGATATCCTTGGGATATCCCAATATCCTGTAAGGCTTTCCTTAGGACGTCCTTAGGACAGACTTGTGCTAGCTGGGATACTGGTATATCAATTAAAAGGTAAGCAAGTTTAGACGTGTGACTAAGTAAAACCGCGAAACCTTGAAGAGTTCATTGCCTAAGTTGAGTAAAACCCTAGTTTAACCGTGAATTTAACGGATATGATTCAGGGCCAAAGGATTTTAGCATCTGGTTTAACAACACGTACTAGTTACTTTAAATACAAAAACAATTAAACGCATTTGACTTGACAAGGTATTCACTCACTTTTAATTGAGGTTCCAATCATTATCATAACTGTAATACGAATATTACTTAGTAGGTAGCCTGCGCAGCTTATCGGGGGTGGGGATGGGATTATCATTTTGCAAAAGTTTATTTTATAACCCCATTGTGGGTTAAGAGGCATCAATGCTTAAATCGCTTTGTCCCCGCCCCACGGAGGTGGGGGGAGTCGACACTGACCTTGAACCAAAAATTGCATAAAATAACTACGAAGAAAGAAAACTTGGCACAAATTTCCCTTTATGTGATAAAACAAAGGAAAGTTTATCATCGAACGAATGAGGCCAAAATGGGGTTAAACAAAAACCATATCAAATAAATAATCTTTTATCAATTAACAACAAAGGAAATATTTCGTGGATTTCAAAACAAGTACCTACGTAATCTTATTTTTAATAAGAAAGGCGATTTATAAAATAAAAAAATAAATAAAAACACACAATAGTCCAATTTTTTGTTATCTAAAAGTTATGTATCGAACGTCATGCTTTGTTTTTTACATTGTTTTGTAGCGATAATGCGAGATGATTCAGATTAACGTAATTAAAAATATTATTCACCATCCTCTTTGTAAATACACACAATTCAGGCCATTGAGTCATTAACGAAAGAAAAAAAATAACGACGGATATTTTACTGAAAAAGGGTTTCTTTGTAATATGTTTGGAATAAAATGTAAAGCGATGACTAATCAACTTTCCCGAAACTCACGCTATTAATGAAACGCAATATGTAATATTATTATTAGAATTTCACGGAAGAGGCCAGTATCATTTTGGCATAATTAAATGTTAAAAGGTAAACTTTTATACTGGGAAACTCATACGAATAACACATAAACAATTCCGAAAAAATATGACGCGCACTTTATTATTCTAATTATTTTAAATTTAAATATTGAGAGTGTGACGTTAAGTGGATACGCCAAATTATTACGAAACTACTCTAAATTTATACCGACTTAAACTGCGCTTGAATGGTCTACATATTTACTATTTCATAATAGACCAATATTTGACAAAAGAAAAAGCACGTGGTGAATACTAACAATTACACCTAATTATTAAACAATGATAAGGTTACAATCAAATAACCGAGGCGAAAAAAGATGCGATGCTGCAGAACTAGGCTAGTGGAACTAGGCAAAAGAAGTGCCCCACTCGACGACTTATCTCCAACATTACATAATTACAACTAAATTGCTAAATCATGAACCTATTTATCTTTGCTTTGTTTTGCACAACAAAACAAATAGTGTTTTAATCGAGGCCCCAGTTCAATTTTCTCGAAAAAAAACACTATTTATCGAAATGCATCAACAAAAATGCGCGCGAAAAAAAATTTAAAAATTTTACTCACCAACTGCACCAGTTGACGTTTGGGTTTTCTTAGGAGTCGACACAATAAAATGAATTGTTTTTATTTCACAAAATAATCAAACTGTCAATAGAATATATCACCAAAACAAATAGAGACGAAATTGGATATTGTTATGATCGCACGTCTTAACTATTTAGCGTTCCGTTAATAACTGGCCGTCGTGCGCTCAGCGCTTTTACTTGACTAGTGTGAAATCGCCGTCGCCGCCGATTTCGAACAACACAAAACAGAAACGCTAGGTGCTCCTGCTGCTGCTGCGTTCGACTGCCGCCGTCTCGCTCATTTTCTCGCTCGCCCTCGCTCGCACTCGCGCTCAGCTTTATACGCGGCGGAGCGAGCGGACGCTGTTGATCATTGTCGCGACTCTCAGGAATACTGAGGACAACACCCTCAATGACTCACCAATCAGATCACTGACAGGTCACCTTCATTTTGTTATGTAACAAAACCGCATATCTCACCCCCAAACATCAACACCGAGAAAATTTGAGCGACATAAAAGATTATTTGGAATTAAAAATTTAGTTGATCATTGGGTGATATTGAAGGAAGAATACCAAAAATAATACCCTAAGATTATCAATATTTACAAAAAAAACAAATAACATCCTCAAACATTAATATTAAAAAAATCTCTAAAACATCAACTTCATTTACTATTTTGTGAGAAAATTTACACCATCTAGGGGTTGATATAAAGGAAGACTATTTAAAAACACATACCTACATCATAATATCTTCAAAAAATCAACTCAATTTAATTTTTCTTAAGGTTAATTTAAGGAGTGACCACTTGATTAAATCCACGTCATAAAATTAAAAGTTCGAACACAGAAAATTTAGCTGATCAAAAGGATAATTTGGAGGAAGAATAATAAAAAAATATGCAAAGATTATGAATATGACAAAATAACACCCTCCAACATCAACATTTCAAAATATCTCCAAAACATCAACTCCATTTACTATTTCTTCAAAAAATTTAGGTCATTTAGGGGTTGATTTGAAGAAAGATTGCTCAAAATAATATACGTACATCATAAAATTGTCAAATACCTTTCCACCTCAACATTTAAAATATCTCCAAAACAACTCTATTTACTATTTCCCCAAAAAAATTGGGCCTTCTTGGGGATGACTTGAGGAAAGACCACTATAAACTATACACCTGTCATAAAATTACCAAGAAAAAGCGTGTTTCCAATATTAAAAAATATTTAGAAAATTAAGTTGATCAAAGGGTAAATTTGGTGGAAAAATATTAAAATATTAAGTAAATATCATGGATATGACCAAATAACACCCTCCAACATCAACATTTCAAAATATCTCCAAAACATCAACTCCAGTTACTATTTCTTCAGAAAATGTAGGTCATTTAGGAGTTGATTTGAAGGAAGACTGCTTGAAATAATACACCCACATCATAAAATTGTCAAATACCTAACTCCTTCCAACCCCAACATTTAAAATATATCCAAAACAACTATTTACTATTTCACAAAAAATATATTCCTTCTTGGGGATGATTTGATGAAAGACTACTTTAAATTAACAAGAAAAAGCGTGTTTCCAATATTGAAAAATATATATTAAATTTAGTTGATGAAATGGTAAATTTGGGTGAATATGACTAAAGAACACCCTCCAAAATCAACATTTCAAAATACCTACCTCATAAAATTACCAAATAAAAGCGTATTTTCAATATAAAAAACATATAGAAAATTTAGTTGATCAAAGGGTACATTTGGAGGAAAAATAATAAAATATTATGCAAATATTATGGATATGGCCAAATAACACCCTCCAACATCAACATTTCAAACTATCTCCAAAACATCAACTCCATTTACTATTTCTTCAGAAAATATAGTCAATTTAGGGGTTGATTTGAGAGAAGACTTCTTGAAATAATGTACCTACATCATACAATTTTCAAATATCTAACAGCTTCCAAACTCAACATTTAAACTATCTCCAAAACTACTCTATTTACTATTTCCCAAAAAAATGTAGGCCTTTTTGCAGATGATTTGAGGGAAGACCACTTTAAAATGTACACCTACCTTATAAAATTACCAAGAAAAAGAGTTTTCAATACTAAAAAATATATAGAAAATTTAGTTGATCAAAGGGTAAATTTGGAGGAAGAATAATAAAATATGATGCAAATATTATAAATATGACTAAAGAACACCATCCAATATCAACATTTCAAAATATCTCCAAAACACCAACTCCAGTTATTATTTCTTCAGAAAATTTAGGCAATTTAGGGGTTGATTTGAAGGAAGACGGCTCGAAATAATATACCTACATCATAAAATTCTCAAATACCCAACACCTTCCAACCTCAACATTTAAAATATCTCCAATACAACTTATTTTACAATTTCGCCAATTGGAAATTGATTTGAGGAAAGACCTTCTAAAATTATATACCTACGTCATAAAATGAGCAAGAAAAAGTGGGTTTACAATGAAAAAAATATATATAACAAGTTTAAGTGATAAAAGGGTGACTTTGAAGAAAAAATAATAAAATATTATGCAAAGATTATGAATATGACTCCAAGATCAACATTTCAAAATACCTACCTCATAAAATTACCGAGAAAAAGCCTATTTTCAAATTAAAATACATGGTCATTGACCAAATAACACCCTCCAACATCAACATTTCAAACTATCTCCCAAACATCAACTCCATTTACTATTTCTTCAGAAAATTTAGTCAATTTAGGGGCTGATTTAAAGGAAGACTGCTTGAAATAATATACCTACATCATAAAATTCTCAAATACCTAACACCTTCCAAACTCAACATTTAAACTATCTACAAAACTACTCTATTTACCATTTTCCAAAAAAATGTAGGCCTTTTTGGGGATGATTTGAGGAAAGACCACTTTAAATTATACACCTACCTTATAAAATTACCAAGAAAAAGCGTGTTTCCAATATTAAAAAATATATAGAAAATTTAGTTGATCAAAGGGTAAATTTGGAGGAAGAATAATAAAATATGATGCAAATATTATGGATATGACCAAATAACACCCTCCAACATCAACATTTCAAAATATCTCTAAAACATCAACTCCATTTACTATTTCTTCAGAAAATTTAGGCAATTTAATAGTTGATTTGAAGGAAGACTACTTGCAATAACATACCTACATCATGAATTTATAAAATTTTGAAAAAACATCGTTGTTTCGATTTGCACCATATAGATGATCTTGCAAAATATATGAATGTATTAATTTATGCGCGTTTGAAATTTTAATAACCGCATTTACAACTAAATATAATACCGCTGATTTAATAAATATATTATATGTATGTATATGCAATACATATTACAAATTGGAATAAGTTATTTTTTTAATTGCCATATAAACGTAATACAATTATCAGTTTTTCGTGGAAATTATTTATTATCGATGACTCATGGTAAGCATTACAAAATATGAGGCACCACCTAACATTTAATAAATAAGAAAATTTAAATGCAGTTTGCAAAAATTATGGTAAATATTGTTTGGCTGTTGAAATCACCCCATAAACACGCGTTGTTTACAATTTTTATGACAAAGTCGCAAATTGTCCTTAAAAATCCTAAATAATATTGTTGTTTATATCAATGTTATCTCATTCGGGGATTTTACGATGCGTTCGTTGAAAATTGTTGTTTTTTGTTTGATAATGTTGCGCAATTAAGCGTCGCCATGTTTTGAAAAACAAAAAGTTATAATTAAAAATACGGTTTGTTAACCTTTTTAATAAATATGTTTTTCAAGTAAATTATCGCCATTTTTTCGAGATATGTGAAACCATGAACTGTAAATATGTTATTATGTACTAACCTAAGTCAATAAAACAGTTGTTATTACTTATAAAATAGAGATGACATTGGGACGACAATTTAATTTGTTTTTTATGCAGATGCATAAAAATAAATTTATTTGTTTGATACCAAATTAAACTTGGTGAACTGGCAGCAGTCGGGACAACGATAATTAATATGTGTAATTAACCGCTGCGAAAAAAATTACATTTTGGCGAACAATGACATAATTTTTACGACTTTTCTCACCTTGTGCATCTATCAATAAATAAATAATTGCCGATCGGAACACAAAAGCCAATTAAAAAGTTTTATATGCCTGTTTAGGTCAAATCATACATGAAACTGGTAATAGCCGACCTCTAGTGACAAGGATACCATAAGACCTCATATTCGCTCATTTATTTCCTATATTCTTAAGAAAAAAATCCGTCCAACCTTGATTACGAAATTTTAAGAAATGCTTATATCATAGTTAATTTATTTAAAAATATTTTGTGTCGCTATGGTCGGTTTAGCCGGCAATGCGTATTGAAGGTTAATTATGTCAAAATTTGATCATTCGATGGCATCTGTTGAAAAAGCAGCACAAATAATAACCTCAATAAATAGGAAAAGTGTGCCAAGTCCATATTTTCTTCCCGCGCGCGCTGTCGATATTAAATTTGTCATGCTTCATTTATCCTGAACTGTAAAAAACGTTTCTATACTATTTACCAACTGATTTATTTTATCGTATTTGCGACAACTTGTCTGTACCTTAACGTACCCCTTTATTTACCTAAATTAGTAATGTGATATGATAAGATTTCGTAATTCGTAATAAGTTATTTTCGCGAGATTTAAAAATAACGTTAGGCGTTAACCCCATTTAAGCGTCTACATCCAAAATTAGACCGGGCAAAATAATTTTTATCATTTGGGAGAACTTTCCAAGGATCAATTTATAAGTCCTCAAAACAAACAACGGAAAAAAATCAACTTACCAGGCGGGGGTGAAAAAATTAATCCGTTCTCGGTGTGCATTGCCGGCATGCCGAAGGGCGAAGGGCCTGCAGGCCTGATGACCGGGTACAGAGCAATGATGAGGCCTTAAGTGCACCACAACACAAAAAAAATTACACTTTTGTTCAAAATGAGCACTAACACAATGTGGTTGCTTTGCTATGTTAGTGGAACGCAACAACACTCTTTATGTATGTTTATGTCAGTCGGTCGGCAAAGTACGGAACGGTCTGAAACCGCTAGACAGCTTTACTATACTGCAAATGCAAGCGGTTCGCGTTCTGCGTGCTGCAGAGAGACCAGTCTACAACAGTACCCAGCTAGGATGTAAAAGTATGAGATAGTGACCTACATGTCCGCGAAGTAGTGGCAAAACGAAGAAAGCGGAGAAAGGGAGACACTAAAAGGAAATGCGGTCGCCACAAGTAATATGTAGTTACGTGAGATTACCACCGCACATAATACGTTTTTCGTCCTCATTTAAATCCCCGCAACTTTCGGCCGTACTGCATTCTCCGATAAAAATGAAATCATCACTAGAAAACACCACACAATAAGGTCACTACACCTTTTCTTCTTCTTTACATCACTTTTAAAACCAACACAACACAAAAACAATAACCTCCAAACAACAAATTAAGCTAATTCTTTTCAACAATACTTGAAAAAAATCAGCTTAATTTGTTCTATAGAATGGCAAAATAGCAAAATCAGAAAAAGTTAGTTTTGGCTGAAACTAGAGATGCGACTTGAAAAAAAACGGTCCGTTTTTTTTGTTTTTTTTCAGGTTTTTTTCATTGTTTTTTTTCAAATGTTTTTTTTTTCAAGATTAGTCCCATTTGCCTAATTTTTTAGGTTTCATGGACTAAAATTAGCCACTAAATGACAATTAGTAAATGTAAATACAGTCTCGCGCTATGCACGCGCCACCACCACCGAATTGACCAATAAGGGCCGTGCTTGTTTTGATTTGGTCCTAAAAAAAGTAACTACATATATTATTTTTGATTCAGCGCTTGATTTTTCAAAAAGCTACCAAAAGCACTTTTTTCATGATTTTTTAAATTCATGTAGAGTATGGATTTATTTTTCAAAAAAACAATAGCAAATTCTTGTAGGTCATTTATTCATTGGTGGTTAAGTCAGAGCATTCCGTGGACCAGAAAGCCAAAAAAATCGATTTTTTTTATTACGGTATTTGTTAGGATTGAGCACATTTTTCATCTAAAAATCTCAAAACTAGAAACTTCAAGCTTCAAATTGCTTTTTTTACGGCTCCAATACGACCATTTTTAACAAAGATACAGCTATCCGAAGAATCGCAAAACTATTTTTTTTATCCTTTAATTTTTTTTATTGGTGTAGAAGTTTTACATTGCTACTGGTTTCTAATGTGGAAACTACCAAATAAGAAATTAGATTTTTTAGTCCCGGTCAAAATGTTCAATAATGAAAAGTTTAATATATTCTACATTTCACTTTATTATTAATATATATTTTACTCAAAATTTCATTTTGAAAAAAAACAAAAAAAACCGTTTTTTTCTAGTTTTTTTTTTCATGTTTTTTTTTCACATCTGAAAAAAAACCGTTTTTTTACATCTCTAGCTGAAACTAATAAAATTTTTGTTGGCCCTTGTACGCCTTTGTACCAAATGTATTCTGCCCAACGTTATAATTTTAATTTTTCGTGTCAAAGGTCAAGTTCCATATTCCTGCTCTAGAAGGGTAAAAGATGGACAAAATACATTTTAATAGTCTGCTTCTCAATTATTTAAGCATCTCCAGAAACTGTACCTACTCCTTTATAATGTTTGGCAAGAAAATGTACGTAATACAAGGTTTGATCTTTTGAAAACATATCAGAAATAGTAGGTACACTAACAGAGCTGGGAAAGTTACTTCTGAAAAGTATCTAGATACTTAAAAAAAATAACTTAGTTACCTCTGGTAACTAGATACTTTGAGTTAAAAGTATCTTTAGTTACAAGATACTTTAAACCTAAGATACTATCCGAAAGTATCTAAGATACTATATGAAAGTATCTAAGGTACTTTTGAGTAACTAAAATACTTTTAAGTAACTAAGATACTTTTGAGTAACTAAGTTACTTTTAAGTTTGAATAAAAACTAAAAATTTTTAAATATTCAACAAGTTGTGGGTTAGGTAATTACTTTGAATCATTCTGGAATTCCCCCAATTTTCTCTAAGAAAGTATCTAAGTTACTTGAATGTATCTTACTAGTTGTATCTTACTAGTTACTTTACCGAGTAACTTAGATACTTTTTAAGATACAAGTTACAAGATACTTTTCCAAAGTAACTAAGTTAAAGATACTTTCTGTCCAATGTAAAAAGTATCTAAGATAACGTATCTTAGATACTTTAAGTATCTAAGTTACTTTTAAGTAACTTTTTTTTCAAGATACTCCCAGCTCTGTACACTAAGATGATGTAGGTATACATTTTCAAGAAAAAAATTGATCATTTTAAATTTATTTCCATCGCCATCACCATCAGGAGAAACTCATAATAATAAGTATTTTAAAGGAAAATAACAAATCGAATAATAGTATATTATTATACGAGAGATAATGCAGGCTATTATTAACAAGGATGAGGTTTGCATCTCGAGCCGTCAGGCGAGAGACGTAAATCATCCGAGTAAATAATGCGCATTATTTCGAGTGTAATACTATGCAATTAAGTAATTTTCATTGATAACAAAATTTATTATAACCTCACTTTTTCTCGATTTCAAAGATCATTATAGTCGCTCCTCGTTTATATAAACAAATCTGAATCTGTTAACCTCACTTTTTCCCAATTTTAAACCCGATTGGTTCAAATAACAGTGAATATTGAAATCAGCCAATCACTGATGCCTAACAACGTGAATAATGACTTCAATATTCTTAGGCCGGGCGGTTATATTGGTTACCATTATTTAATAAAAAACCCAAATAATGTCAATAATATGAATATGAAATATATACTCGGCAATGATATGTGCTCCGCCTGGTCTATAATGTAACAAAATTCGGCTTTTTTTCTTGTTTTTCAATTACTCACATTTTGATGTACAATATTCATATTTTCCGCCATTTTTGTAGAATCGCCCTTTTTTAAAAAGTGTACCCCCCTCTTTTTTTGGAGATTCAAATAGATTATGGAATTATGATTTCAGCAATATTATTATTAAAAGTGGAAAATTTATAGTTTTTAATAATGTTTTGATGTTTTATAGTTTCTATTAAAAGACTTTTTAATGTGGTTTTGATATAATTGTCATAACAAAATTAAACTACATAAAATATATCAAATAAATGATTTTCCACATTATTATAACTGGATAAAACTAAAATCTCCTTGGTATATTTAGTATTTAATCAGTGAAAAAATGAAGAGATTCTTGGATAAAAATGAAATCTTCTTCTCATGTTGGAAAATGGCTAAATAGGGTTAATGGAGGCAAAGAAAGTTTTTCAGTCTACTTGTTCTTGTGCTTTACATCATTTGTTATAACATTTTTGGAAGATGGTGATTGAAAAGAGGGTAAAGAAAGTTGCGGGTTTGAATATATTTCACAACTTTCTTTATTGATTATAACATTATTACGTTTTTTTCTTGTTTAATCTCAATTTGGCTGTTGAAATTTCTCTGCATTGTTTATTAGAAAATTATTACCTACTTAAATGATAATGGTTATTATGTGAATCTAGCTGAATCTGCGCTAAATAGGCCAATATTAAATGGAGAAAGTTGTAAATGTAAATCTTATTCCACTTAATTTATATATTATTTCATCGGTTATAGCATTTTTTTCGGTACTTATAATATTACGTTAACCTAGCTTTCTTTTTACATGAATTTCGGCAATGTCATTGCCAGTGATAATAAACTTGAAAATAATTAGACTTATGTAGGTATTGATTGTTGACCGCAGACTTGCCGGTTTTGAAGTGACTGATTGTAATTAACAGTAACGATAATGCCTGCATGGTGTTTTCATAAAAATGAAATCATTGTCATAGAAAACAAGAAAATGAGGCCAATCCTAGCGGAGAGAGTTACTTCTATCATAATCTACTCCACTTCCAGAACATTTGTTAAATAATTTCTACTAGCATAAAATTTATCAAAAAAGGTCATCATACTTTAGGGAAAAAGTTTTTACATCATGCGTTATAGCATTATTACATTGACCCCGGCTTTCTTTTACCAAAATTTAACAGGCAATGCCAAACCTTGACCATAAACTTGCGCATCTTTTGCATATAATGTATGTAGAAAGTGGCGACGTTCATTAAGTAGATTTGCAATGGAAATTTATTGGTATGGTGGAAACAACGGTAAACAAAAACAACCGAATTAAAAAAAACATCGACTTTTGGATTGTTATAGTCTATAGACTAAAGTTTTTGACAAGTACGGTTCTGTTTAATGAGATCCATGTCCAGCATCAACATGACCTTGTTGTTCAGACAATGCATCATATTTGTGAACTTTTTTCGGTCACTCCTTGTTAAAGGAGGTGCATCGACTTTTTATCAAGAATATTTTATATGCAACCTTGGATATGTTTACAGCAAACCAAATGCAAATTAATCTTTTTATTGTTATTTTTTACGTTTTTTGGTTACATATCTTTTGTCATTCGTTAAATTTGTTGGCATAATAATATTTTTTTTTTGATTGGGAAAATAATTGTCAAGTCGTATGATATTTGAGTGTCAACATGTTGCGTATGTGGCTAATCAATAATAACCAAACACGCCTAGATGCACAAATTATTTGAAATTTGATTTGATTTAAAAAGAAAACAACCCGACCGAATCGATAAATCCAAAGCGTTGAACCTGATTTTTTTGCGCTCCAAAAACTTTGATACACCTAATTGGATTTTTTTTAATGTCTAGCTCAACTTGTTGCCTAAAGGGATGATGAATAATAATGTTTAACTGTTGTTAAAAATTAATAGATAAATAGAAGAATTAGCGTTGGGATAGGTCAAGCTCTTAAAATAAACGGTGAAGGTCGCAAAAACTAATTGTGAGAGATCAGTCTGGCGCTTTGTTTATTGCTCGAGCTTTAAAATCTATTTTGATTGGCAACGCATTTTTAAATGCTAGTTGTCATAATTTGTCGAAAAACTTCGTTAAAAGGCCCTTGACCTCGCATTCCATTGTCTGTAATTTACCATAGAATTTTTTTCACTCGGGCAGACTTCAAAACACACACACACACACACGCAAAGTGTGTGTGTTGGGTTA